CCCCCCCCCCCGCCCCCCATTCGCTACCTTCTCGCTATCCATCGACCCTCATCCACGGAACCACAAAACTTTTCCTCACGGTCACCGGACATGATTCAATGTAACACACGCCGTATAACGTTCGCATGTTGCTATCCGTTGTTGCTTGAATTTTTAAAGCAAATAACACCGGCGCTACGCAGCGCTCCGGGTTTGCCGGACAATTCGAGAGGGGGTTCGACTACCCGGAAACTTTTTCCTCCCCGCCGACATACCGCGACAATAACACACGCAATCTGCGCATGATGCGATCAAAATATTTAATAAGCAACGGCTCGAGAGAAGGAGCGTACGGTTTGCACACACAGACATACACACGTTCCCGCTAGACTTTCAGTCCGTACAAAGGTGTATCGCGCACAAAGCGCCATCGGTCAAACGTATTTCATAACGTTCGAAATTGTCGTCCCGTCAAGACCCATGCGAACATATCCAGTTTGTCTTTATTGAAAAGAGAAAGAAAAAGCGGACGATTGAAAGAAAAAGTAATAATGAAAAATATGAAACTAGAGAATTCGATTAATCGGTCAATACAAATCTGGCTACGAATTTTCGGTATCTGGCCGGAATCCTCGTGCATCGTCTCGCGCAGATTGTTTTGGGTCGTCACGCTCATGATCGAGCAAACCTTGCAACTCCGATATATCACGACGAATTTCTATAGCGTCAACTTTTCCGAGGTGATAAACACTTTGAGTGAAATAATGCCGCACACGATACTGTTAATTAAACTCGGAATTTTTTGGTATAAACAGCGGTGAGATACGCAATAATACATAGCGATATGCAGTGTGTCAGTGAAGCGCCTCATTTTCAGCTTTCATCTAAAGTTCCCAGTGTGACGTTAACTTTTCATATTTCATCTCTCAGCATCTGTCGTTTGATATTTACTTTATCGCGAGTTTCATCGGTACAATCAATTACTCGCCAATTGGAAACGCGATGAATGTGATGGACTCGGCGATAAGTCGAAATATCAAACTAACATTTGTACACTCGAAGTAAAAGTAAAAACGCGCCGAATTTCGCGAAGATAATCATCACGCAGCGATAAATCATTTCGTCGCCAGTGATTTATGCGGCGATCCTTTCCCATCATCGTTCGCACGTGCGTGACCAGCGAAAATTATTTGTAGAACATTTGACAAGATACTAACAATGATGGCGGTCGATTGGGAAAAGTGTTCCAGCACGGAATTCAACATGTTCACGATGAAGTGCAAAGCGAAGCTATCGCAGCGGCTCGCTAACTTGACAATGGCATTTTACTCGACGGCCGTAATCTTTTATAGCAGCGACGTTCTCGTAAACCGCTTGGATGTCAGCAGAACTTCCAATACCACTGCACGGCCGCTCATTCTAAAGATGGAGATACCGTTTGATAGTAACAAAAGATTTGTATATGAGTCGCTTATAATTATGCAATTCCTTCAGTTGTGGTCGTGCTCCTGTACGATTGGAACGATCAATATTCTACTTATAATTTTGGTGAGTACCATATTACCATACTATGCCCGAGATACTCTAATTATTATTGTTATTTGAGGATGTATCTACCCATAACTCAGAAAATGACAACAAAATTACAAATTGATCTACATTGCATTTGAAAGTGACATCAAAAGTTTAACAGTACTTCAAAGCTTGAATCACTTTAAGGGAAATTGTAAATTGTAAAGATTTTATCGTGCTCTTTGAGATTAGCGTGCTCCTTGAGATTAGTGTGGTATTTTTAAATTCTATTTTCAATATTTTCTACACTAAAAATAAAATTTTAATGGAAAATACTGCTAAAGATTAATATGCAGACATTATATTAATTTCGTTTCAAATTAGCATTTATTATATTTAGTTAATAAAATAAATGTGTAAGAACGTAAATTTACTTGATAAATATTATATTAATATTTGAGTGGTTTCCTTGATGCGCCACTGAAAATACGATATTAATGCGTAATACATCCTTAAGGCATTTATTAATATCTCATTAATACATTATATGTTATGATAATCAGTGATCAGCACTGTGATACTATTGCATCTTATTAAGTTGCATAAAATTAGTAGTATCGAAATATAAAGTACAATTAAAAATTACTTACAATCAAAAGAGAGCTAATGAAACGAGATAAGAGATATACCCCAGAAAAATGAAAAATGAACATCGAATAGACGTCAAATCGACATCAAATCGACGTCGATTCGATGGTTTATTTCTCGCTGGAATTCAACTTGAATTTATTTACGATTTTTCTTAAGATTTATTACGATTTATCTTAAGATTTTATTACAATCAGAAAATATAAATCAAGACATCGACGTATTAACAAAATTGCTATCACATTACGTTGTCGAATAAACTAATAATTACTTTCATTGCTCACATTACAAAAGATAACTTACTGACAATTTTTATTCATCTTGCAATTTTTATTGCTCATTTGCCTTTTCAAGATATTTTGCATCACGAGCTCGATTTAAGCTTTAAGATACTTCTTAAAACCCAATTAGCGTGACAATTGACAAGACGGTTTATTTCAGATACTGCACGTGAGCGGTCAAATTGAAATTCTTTGCGAATGGTTGGTGGAGGTTTATCCGATGGAAAGGAGTCGTGACCCGAATCTCATTGTGATAAGGAAAGTAATTAAGACGCATCAGAAAATTATCACTTTTTCACAGTACATCGAGGATCTGTACTCAGGTATTGCGATGGCGTTGTTCGTATCGGACACTCTAATTATTTGCTGCTTGGGATTTATAATCGTTGTGGTAAGTAGCTTCCGACAATCGCGCGTTGCGATAAAAGGAAATATGGTTCATAGGGACGTCATTGAATAATCTACTGTAGTGCACGACATTGATCGCTTTTAATTATCGATAGGTTTCATCGCTCTCCCATTACCACCAGTTCTTTTTTTAATATTCCAGTCAGTCGGAACGCTCAGTGCTACAAAAATTATAATAAGCACTTTCTTATTTTATATCGCGATGAACCTGGAGGCATTTATATTTTGCTTCGCTGGAGAATATCTCAGCGCTAAGGTTAGATATCGGCGATGCGTAAAATAAGCAGAATATCGCTACTCACATCTACTATCGTAAAGATATGTTGATATCGCATTCTGTTCGGCGTTTACGTATAGAGCAAAACCGTTGGAAATGCCGCATATGATTCCTTCTGGTACGAATCGAATTTCAAAGACAGTCGGGTGATGTTGCTTCTGATAATGAGATCGCAGAATCAATTAACCATCACAATCGGGAAGGTCATGAACTTGTCTTTGGAACGATTTAGCAGTGTAAGATCACTTATCTTACATACAGGAACTTCTATTACGCCGATTGTCTCGATAACTGTTTAATCAAGATGTTACCTTCAAATGTTATCTCTCATCATATTCAAGTATCATGCTACTTAAACAACTCGGATATTCGAATCTTTCATGTGTTTCCCTTTTTCAAACGTTTCCCATATATCTGATTATTTTACCAATTATCCAAATACTTCATTATCGTGATTAGTAGAGATATAAGTAAATATAATGGAGACAGTAGGCACTTTAAAAAAAAGAGAGAAACAAATCAAATGACGCGAAGTCAACTACTACTAAAATTAGTAATAAATGGTAAATGAGTATTAGCCAAATATTATCCGCGATTTTGTGTACTTGGATACTCGATTACTTCAGATAATATCCGCGAATTTGAATACCGGATGAATATATCCGGATGGCCGGATGTAGAAACCATCCAATATATACTGACAACATGGATCTTATCATCAATTAATTTTCACATCATTATAGTTTACTTGACTTTCTGTACTCTGAAGAGCACGGCTCGTAGTTTCACGTACTCCCTACTCACTTGTGTTATCCTGTTATTTTTTCCCATGTTTCGAAAACGATGTTTCACATTAACCCTACTTCACAGATCTGCATCCACTCGCGAATATTCTCCGAAGTAAACGCAGAGAACATTGTTATAGATTGTAAAGGCCTCAGCTTCCTACATATCGGTTCTACTCGCGATATACTGAAGATGTACCGAAGCGACGTCGTACGTCCAATTTCCACGTAATTTCCACGTTACGAACTACCTGCTGCTACTGTTCAACGTGGAGAAGAAAATTTGCACATAAATTAATACCGACTAAAGTCGTCGTCACGGTATATTATTTATTAGTCATTCCCGACATGTCCCATGCGCTTCATCATTGCCAAGAGAGAGAGAGAGAGAGAGAGAGAGAGAGAGAGAGAGAGAGAGAGAGAGAGAGAACAAAGAAGAAAATAAACTCTAATATTCTCCAATATTCTCCAATATTCTCCAATATAGACAAGATCGATAACATGAGATACGTGCTGTTTATTAAATGAACCGGAGCACAAAGCGGCCTCGCGGTTTCCCCATCCGCTGGCATTGTTCCCTCCTCCACTCTCCCCCCAAACCCCTGTCAATTTTCCGTTATCGCGGCTCTTTTACCACGACTTTCCCTCTCCGAAATTATACACTTTGTACTCGCGCAAAATTCCCTGCACTTTTAATCATACGTAATTCGCCGCTGTCGCATCGCAGCGTCGCGCTGGAGAAAGAAGGCGGCGAGGGAACGCGAAAACTCGCTTCTTACCTTTACAAAGTGTACTTTCTCCCTCGCTCAATCTTTTTTCGCTCCGTGATTATACGTTTATAGTCACGGCTGTGTTTTCCGCTCTCGGTACCGCGAGAATAATTAATGACCAATCGAGCACGGTCAGTCGCTCCGCGAGGAGCTCTCCTGCGGCTTCCAATCTTTAGCGAGATCTATATCTCGCGACACACGCTTCAAGCACATGCCGCGGCCGAGTCGATGCTTCATAAATTGATGATAAAGAGATTCGTGCCTTGCTACCGCGATCATGACGAACACCAACACGGTGTGCTTCTCTATAAGGCTCGTCCTTCTCATCTTTGGCGTCTGGCCGGGCGCGTCGTGCGTCGCTCTGAGCAGGGTGTTCTGGTCTGTGTTGCTCATCGCCACGCAGGTCTTTCAGTACGCATACTTCGTGCTGCACTTTCACACCGACGGCCTGCCGGATCTCATGGATAATCTCAGCTGTTCCTTGGCATATACCCTGTTGTTCATCAAACTCATCGTCTTCTGGACCAATCAGCGGTAAGTCAGATCGACTTTTCCGTCCACATCAGTATCGCTTTCGTAATCGTGCGGTAAAATCGTTCAGAACTCGATAAACAAGAATGGCTAATAAAAATTTATAAGTTTCCGGCTCCTAGATTTAGCTTTTCATTTATCGATTGTGTAATACAAATATGTGTGTGTGTGTGTGTGTATAGTAATAATTATATTTGACCCGAAACTTGTCCCATTGTGTGCATGCGTCGCAGAAAATTCCGCGAGATTCTGACGATGATCGCCACCGACTGGAAAGAGTGTGCGAACGATCCATTCAGCATGCACTTGACGACGAACACGGCCACGATGTCTTATCGCGTCTCGAACGCGATCATTGGCCTCCATATGGTCGCAGTGGTGACTTATAGCTTCGGCGTGCTCTTGGCCGACGTCGAGAATGGGGATTTTAATGCGTCCACCGTGCCCGTGCGGGCACTCATTATAAAAATGGAATTGCCCTTCGACAGCAACAGCTCGCCCGTTTACGAGCTCGTAATGGTCGTGCAATTCTTTCAGCTGTTGTCGAACGCCTGCGCTATCGACGTGCTGAACGCTTTAATCTTGACGTTGGTGAGTCACGTCGGTGTAGGAAGAAACGTTCATGAATTTAAAAGATGGTTGTTAGAGAGGAGACTGTCGAGCTTCGATATCTGGACGTGGCAAATTTCTCGATCTTCCCCTCCTCCCCCTCTCTCTTTCTCTCTCTCTCTCTCTCTTTCTTCAGGATAGATATCTCGCGACTTGAAGAGCGGATTTTAAAAGAGCATTATATCGAATCTCCTAAAGACTAATTTTTTAAACAGAAAAATGATCGTTGTTAAACAAAAAATAAATGGCCATGAAAAACAAAAGATAGAATAGAATAAAGATATTTTTGAGTGAAGAAAGGTAATCATTTTTTGCTCGCTGTAATTTATAGATACTTCACGTCGGCGGTCAGATCGATATCTTGCGAGAGTGGTTAACGAACGTTTTCTCCAAAGACAACATATATGGTATGACAGAAATCACAATGAAGAATGTCATTGGGAAACATCAGAAAATCATTATGTTCTCCGAGAGTGTCGAGAGTCTCTATTCTTACATCGCGCTGATGCAATTTGTGTCGAACACTTTGATTATTTGCTCCATAGGCTTTGTCATTGCCTCTGTGAGTAATATTGAAAGATGTCTACGGGAGAAATTAATTGCTATCTTTCTATCTTTAATTAACTATCAGGTATCTTTTATTATATCTTGAAACCTTGATATGAAGGATGATATTAAGAATTCAACTTCTTCAATAAAGTCTTAAACTTCTTTAATAAGATCTCGACAGAATCGTTAATTTAATTTAATTATTAAGTGGCTGAACAATAAAAATTCAGTATAAATGATGTTACAGTCATTGGGCAGCCCAGATATTGCCACGATACTGGTAAAGACCCTGCTGTTCTACATCGTCATGAATCTCGAAGCGTTCATATTCTGCTTCGCCGGGGAATACTTGAGCACTAAGGTCAGCGTATGATGTTAACACGGCAACGCCCGGTATCACCGTCGCGTTAATCGATTTAATCGCGATGCCACCCGAGACACATCTTGATCGGCCGGCTCCCTTACTCGCACGCTCGTTTATTATCCTGCACGCTAAAAGTAAACCTCGCGTTTCTACAGAGGTCAATAATTCCCCTTCTTATTTACCTCGCTTTTTCAGAGCCTGTACATCGCAGACGCGGCTTACGAGTCCCTCTGGTACGACATGTGTGTGAACGAGAGCCGGCCGATTACGTTCTTGATACTGAGATCCCAAAAGCGATTAACGATCACAATTGGAAAGGTCATGGATCTCTCACTGGGACGTTTCGCTAGCGTAAGCCTTCGCGCTGCACCGTCGTCTCACGTTATCTGATGAACGTGTCCCGCACCCGCCGATATCGTCACTCTGATGAATCATTCATTCGCATATTAAAGCTCCATTGAGTTTCTCTCATTCGCTATCACGCGTCATGTTTAATCCTGATCATGCATGGAATATTGTCGTTATAGATCGTAAAAGCCTCGGCATCCTACGTGTCGGTGCTGCTGGCTATGTCCTGAGAGAGACACGGAGGGACGAATCGATCACGGTTAGTTGGGTGGAACCATGAGCGATTATCGAGAGCGAATCGCGCTTAGACCATAAGAGCCTCATGTAAACAGGATCTGTTCTGATTACAAGACGCGACTGATTCCACATATGTTATTAGTTACATGTTAATTAACGCTTCAACTGCCATTTGTCGCACAGTTGAAATATATGACGTCGCGAGCTGTTTGACCGTCTGACAGTTTTCACGAATATCGATGAGATAGCCCGTACGACGCATCCGTGATCGGACTGATCCTTTTTTCACGAAGAAACACCTATCTTTGCGATGCAAATGCCGCCTCTACAGCTTCCGCTTCAGCTTATCAACATTTTCTACATCGAGATACACGTGTGTCTCGCGATGAAACGATAATTTGTGCTGCAATGCGAACTCTTCGAAGGTCTCTTCTGATAATGACCCTTCCAGCAACGACGAGAGGGAAAGTGAAAAAGAGAGGAAAATAGGAAACTATCCGCTATTCTATTTCCCGCTGGATGTATATTCCTCCCCTTGGTCTCCGTGTCTCGGCGTATTAACAGAAGTCGCAGCCGGCAATCTTGGTTCTGACGTTCACCCGCATATTATCCGGAGGATAATGTAACACGACTCCTTGCATTATTGACACAAGCAGGGTTTGCGCGTATACGTAAGAAATCCCCTTCGACGTTTTTCGTTCTTCTGCCTCTTGCGCTCTCTTCGCGGAAATTCGAGGTTCTCCTTGATTACTGCGCGATTTATTTCACATCCGACGTGCGTGCTACCCGGCACGCTTGCTCGGATCCCTGCATTTTTAAAGCAAATCGTCCACCGTTGTCCCGCTCGCGCGGTCATCGATTCGAGAACGGATCGTCTTTGTTGTAATTTCATTTTTCTGCCTCTTTATGTGTGTGTGTTTTTTTTTCTTTTCTTGTGCTTTCTTTCCATGTCTTTACCAGCGTTACGTACACCGGAGCGATTAACGCGAAGTATCGAGCGGTAATTTCTGACAGGTCTATTTTTTTAGATCAACACATCCCGTTCATGCAGTATGCGACGCAATTTTCCATTCTAGCCATGAACGATTTTCACGACTAAATATGCTATTTCCCCTAAATAATAATGTTCCTTTTCTATCAAATAATACGGTTTGCTGTAGTGAAACAACATTTTTATTCAAACAAAATGATACTTGATATTAAATTATGCTATTGTTATTAAATAAACTCAAATCAGCCGAACTCAGGTCAAACACGTATACTAAATTCAAAGAAACTTTTTTCCCTTTGCATCTTCGATATCTGACCGAATGAGTGTCGCATTCTGTTTCATCAATTGTCCCGGATAATCACTCGCGATCATTTAAATTTTTCAATATCATCGCTACATTGTTAACCACTTCTACACAATTGACTCGTCCAACCCGATGAACGCCTTGAACGATATTATAGCCTTCACACTGTCCCTGAAGCTCATCATTTTCTAGCTTAATCAGCGCTGAAACACGCAACAGTACGGGTGAAGCACAATTAACGCTATGAGATGTATTTAAAAATATCCACAGAGGATTATTCGCACGCGACGCGAATCTATTCCGCGATTCCGTCTCTGAAGACCGAGCTGGGCGGAAGCGTGGGATTAATTAAGCCTCGGTTGACTCCGATTGATCTTCAAACAATTAACGGACAGACATGCAATTACGACGTGTGTTGTATGATATCATATCGCATGATACTTGTTATATTAGGTTGACGAATAAATTTCCGTCCACACCACACATACGCAAGTATACATACTCACACGTGAACTCGTGAAGATTGAATGTGCGCTCTTGTTATCATGGTCAATTGAACACTGCTCGTAAAATGCTCGACAGGATATCGACGAGGATAGAAATACATTGGAAAGTGTGCACCGGTAGCAATCTTTGCACATCGCGCAACCACCGGAAAAGCATACCTGTCGCGTCGAATTTCTAAGTGGATCATCGGCCTTCATATCATGTCCGTGGTGATAACTTGCATCGTCATTATTTCCGACGTCGACGATGGCGGAACTACTACCATGCGCTCATTATAAAGACGAACTTGTCTTTTGATAACAAGCAATTCAAGTTCGTCACATTCACGCAATATATTCACGTGATCCTTCGTGCTTATGCAAGCGACATGCTGAACGTTCTGTTCGAAATTCTATTTAGTTGCACTCTTACCTAAAACTTCTCCATTATTACTGTCGTAATAATTTTCGATACTTAACAGTTAATTGTTAATAATACTTAGAATTGAGTAAGTTAATTATCATTTTTAACTAAATTCAAAGTTCAAAGTTAATGACCTACAAAATTAACTTGCTTAAATTAAAAGTTACCTAAACCAAAACTAACTTAATGAAAAGAATTAAGTTAATGTTTAATTAATTAATTTAAAGTTAAAAATGAATTATGCAAAGCCATATGCATATATATATATATATATATATATATATATATGCTTTTTTATATAATTAATTGTTTAATCGTAGATTAAATTTACTCTAAATAAAGAAAAAGTAGTCTTTACAAAAAAATACTGACTTTTTAAGCTCAGAATTCAATACGAGGGCAAGGTGAAAAGTTCTCGGCCTGACTGAATGAAAGACTGTGATTTTCAGTTAAAAAGCGGTTTTATTTTTCTACATAATCTTCCTTGACTTCAACACACTTGGTCCAGTGTTTCTCCAACATCAGTATTCTTTCCCGGAAGTGAGATTCTGGAAGACTGTTAAAATATTCATCTACGACCCTCTCAACTTCTTGATTGGACGCGAAGCGCTTTCCAGAAACAAATTTCTTCAGGTTTGGGAAGAGATGGAAGTCCGAGGGTGCCAAATCAGGAGAATAGGAGGGATGGCCGAGCAAATCGTACCTCAAATCCCGCAGTTTTCCCATTGCCAACACACTTTTGTGTGCAGGTGCGTTGTCGTGGTGAAAGATGATTTTTTTCTTCTTCAAGCCAGGCCTCTTCTTGCGAATTTTGATATCGAGCTGGTCAAGAAGGTTAGAGTAATATTCGTCTGTAATTGTTCTGCCTTTTTCAAGGTAATCAATTAACAGGATCCCTTTGGCATCCCAAAACACACTGGCCATGACCTTTCCGGCAGATGCGATCGACTTCGCTTTCTTTGGCGCTGAACCACCGGCTTCCACCCACTGCTTCGACTGCTGTTTGTTTTCTGGTGTGTAGTGGTGGACCCATGTCTCATCCATGGTGACAAATCGCCGCACAAAATCGATCGGATCCCTCTTGTATCGATCCAAACATTCCTGCGAATGTCGTTTGCGCATTTGCTTTTGATCCGCATTCAGCAAATGCGGCACCCATCTTGCGCAGAGCTTTCGCATACCTAATTCTTCGTGCAAGATGTTTCGCACCCTTTCTTCCGATATGCCCACGGCCTCAGCTATCTCACACACCTTTATTCGCCTATCGTCCAACACGATATTGTGCACCTTTTCGATAGTTTCCGGTGTGGTTGCAGTTTTTGGCTGTCCTTCACGTGGGTCATCTTCGAGCAACGTGCGACCACGTTTAAATTCAGCTGCCCACTTTTTAACGGTTGAGATTGAAGGAGCAGAGTTCCCGTAAACTTTTGTCAACTTCGGATGAATTTCCTTAGGGGTTAACCCATCCAAAACGAAGAATTTTATGACCGCACGATATTCAAATTTATCCATTCTAACGAAACACGCGCAAGACGTGTACTGCAAAGACTCGTTTACACAAACTACTTGAACGAACAAGTTGAAGCTTGTCATACGAACTAATGATATGTGCGCGCAGGCAGGAAACGTAAACTTTCGCCGATTGGAATGCCATTTCTGGGTCAGGCCGAGAACTTTTCACCTTGCCCTCGTATAAGAAAAAAACGCTACCACTCGAATAGATAACAAATTCTGACATTGCTTCTTATTTATTTTTTATATTATAAGCAGTCTACAGCATTACTCGTCGCTTCCTCTCACATGTATCGCGCACTCGCGCGTGCACATGTATGCGTGCCTAGGCGTTTTCGTCGAAAGAGATAACTTTCCTAAAAGTTTATTTGTGAGATACAAAATTTATTTCGCAAAAATAAGATTTATTTTTGTGAATTAAGCCCTATATCCCACGAATAAATTTTGAAATACTTTTGTCTCAATGTAAGGATATTTATAGTAAACCAGCAACAACAATCTAAATAAACTGGATTCGACATACGATCTCGTTGTTTCCCAGCGATATAATTATGACCTTAATGAAACAATATAATCACACTCGGCAACGATGTGAGGAACAACTTTCGCAATTTCGCGTTTCTCCGCTCGATATTTCTCTCATCCGACATTTTCCATGGTAATCTATTCAACTTTCTTGGGATCGCAACGTGCAATTCCGAACCCAGTTCCACTCCCGGATGCTGCCCGCGATGTTGCATGATTTCTTAACCAATTAACTGTGGCGATCTCTTTGCAAAGCGCCCACCAGTGTGTGTCGCGATAATCAAGCGATGACGGGTATAGCTCTCAGGAAGTTATAAATCCAACTCAAATTATTTATAATTTTCATTTGTTTGTTTCATTTCGTCTTGACCTCTAAACATTTTACCCATACTAAAATTTACGAATATAATTTAGTTTTTGCCAGAATTACAATTTAAATATCAAATTGTAACAAAATTTTACGCATGACGGATATAGTCGTCATGACACAAGATTCTGCCACATCTCCATGACGGATATAGTCGTCAAACACACTTAACTGGTTAAATTGTTAACGCAGGAGAACAGATCTTGCGCTTTTATATATATCCCCCTTGATAGTTTTCCACCTTTTTCCTCGCGAAGCGCGCTTTTCGCGAGAACTCGAGACTCTTTTTACGGTCATCACGCTGAATTTAATATCCGATTTACGCTCACGTGTTGCGTCCGCAGCGCTCGCCGCGGACTCCTGAATTTTTCAAGCAAACTACTCAGAGCCGCACCGTCTGCGCAATCATCGGCTCCGAAACAGATCGCCTTTGTTGCAATTTTCCTTTCTGCTTTCCTTTCTTCTCTTAGCCTCATTTCTCTCCTCCTTTTTCTCTTCTTCCTTTTTTTCATTTTGCTTCCACGAGCGATAGAGCACTGAGCAGGAGGCATGGCGACTGAGATACGCATGCATAGGTAAATATTTTATGAACACCATTTATTGATTATCAGAAAGAGAGGGCGGGAGGAAGACTCTGTTTCAGGATCGTTTCAATTCGTACGAGGATATCGCGTTTGGGTGATCGATCGGAGTTTATCCTGTGCGACAGTCCCGAATATCTGGTTATCCTATCGACGTGTCTGCTTTAAGAAAAAATAACAATGATGCAGTACATGAGTATACAAAAGCGGGAAATGCAAAAGCACGGAATCTGCAAGCGCGTTTGGACGATCCTCGTTCGTACTTTTTGAATCTGGCTGACCGGCTGTGCGTTTTTCTTTCCATCGATTGTTCGAGGATAATTCCATTCGCCCGATCATCCGAGTTTTTCGATGTCGATATGTTATCGAACACCAACGCTCGATCGAACTTCCTGAATTAACGAACGACTGGGGTGTGGAGTCTAACTTATTACGCCCGCTCAAACTGGTCATTCGCTGATTCAATCAGCAGTAGAACACGCCACAGTAATAACAGCGCTATAAACAGCCCGACGATTATTTCAGAGTATCGTTTCCAATGAACTTTATTCAACTCTGATCAGAATTAATCGATCTGTTCCCCTCTTTCGGACAAAGAGATAAAATTAGGAAGAGTCACGGAAGATTAATTAAATATCAGCTAACTTTAATTAATGCAAATTATGCAAACGATACGTATATGAAAATATTGATAAATGATATTAATAGTTATTAATATAATAATTATATCGCGTGGTATATATTATATAATATGTACTACATTATTATAACGTAGCTCACAAACATTCGCTGAGAGAGTACCCGACGATAGCAGCAATGATAGCGAATGTATCGCACCGCATTTCCCACTTTTTGTTGGGTTTCATTTCGATAGACATGGTGACATGTAGCGCACAGCAATTATTTTCCCCGCTCGTATCGTTGATAACAAAATTACTCACATATATCCAGTTGCGGCAGTTTGTGATACATTAAAGCAAAATTGGATCTTTGACTAGTGGCGCCAATAGACGGATACCGGATACTTGAGTATTACCCGGATATCCAAATAATCCGGATATTTCTCAGAGTACCCAAGTATTGCGAACATCTCTTAGTAAAACAAAAGAGGAAATCAGCTGAAATGAAATCAATTTCTATCAGATATTTTCGGATAACAAATGCGTATTATCTGAATTTGCGATTTTGAATTCCGAATTAATGTTACCATTATAATCCAGGTACTACCTGGGTTTAGGCACTTGAGTCTTTCGGGACTATCTTGTTGCTAGAACATAGACATTCACGGAAATTATACGAGTACTCGAACTTATTTATATTCACGAGTACTACCCGGCAACCAGAAAATAGCAGTATAAATAGATACAAATCTGCAAAAATTAGCAAATTTACTGATTATTGGTACAATGCTATTTTACTCATTCAATCAGTGGCATCTTCACTAAATCGATTTAAAAGAGTAAAGTCAAATACAGTGCTGTACAATCATGGATAATTCGAGTCTCTACCACTTGACAAGCGATGATACTACCGCACGCATAACATATTCGTATAGTCGAACGAAGCTCTCCGAAATTCACGGAAAGTGAAATGAGCCGATCGGCCGAGTGATACGTTTAGCGACACAGAGATATGTTATACATATAGTAATACCGTCGTTCGTTAAGTGGTGGAAACTCGAATTACCCACGATTTTACCGACGCCAGCACTACTGGTCCGAAAACAATAACAGTTAATATTGTGAGTACTATCTGAAAATCACTATGATCTGCGATTATTGGTACAGAATACTCGAATATTCCAAGAAATATCCCAGTTGAACCCACCTTATCCAATATCGGATATGTAACCGAATACCTAAACCAAAAGATTATCCGGTTTATAACAACAATTTTATATTCTGAACTTCCCAATGAGTACAAGAAAGAGACTTCGAGATACAGAAAATTCGCACGTAAATTGAAGTCATCTCGATATTTTTCACAATTCTCGTCTATCATGTGTGTCGTGCGGTCATACGTAGCGCGTGACTTTCTTCGTGGAAAGCAAAAATAAGCTCGAAAAAAAGCCTCAAGAGGCAAGTCGGTAACCTGAAATACACTAAGTTTACGGGTATAAAGTGCACCGCAATCGCATGTGTCTTCACGCGTACACACACAAATCCACGTGAACACAATTTGTAATATTATTTTCCCTCTCTTATTTCAAGCAACCCCGCGAGTTCTTCGGCGCGCATGATTGATTTTCATACACCCACAATTCCTGTCGTTGCACGATACCCTGCATTATTAAGGCAAGCTAGCGGCGAGTGCGCAGCAATTGTGCTGTACGTAAAAAAATCCTTCGACGGACTGCTGTCTCTTCTGTTTTTTTTGAAAATGACTTTCTATAAAATATCGCAGGGTTATTGCTCGTGATCGCTAGAAACAATTCGACATCCGACGAATGTCGTGTGACACGTCTACGTATGCTTGACTCATTGAATTTTTAAAGAAAATTGCTCATCGTGCCGTGCCTGCGTCTGTCATTTCAAGAGTAGTTCGTTATTCCTAGCAACACTTCTATCTTCCCTTAGTTTTTTTTCTTTTTTTTTAAGAACAGTACAAGAAATATCGAGAAAATGTGACGAGTGTACACGTGAGCGGCGTAATGTGTGGATACAAATATTTAATGAACGATTACTACTGGGATCGGAGAAGAGAGGATTCATCCGGTTCATCCTTCGTCGAGACCCCTGAGTTCACGGAAAGACATCTCGATGCGCACATCATCCGGTAATCAACGCGTTCACGTACGATAGCGTCTGATACGGAACTGCGTTACGGAATCTCATTACCGAAATCCACTTTGACGGAAGATTAGACGGCGCGAGCATGAAAAAATCGAAAAGCATGCAATCAAGAAGAATTATCAGTCGACCGCTCGAGATGATACTTCGTCTATTTGGTATATGGCCAGGTGTATCTTACGGTCCACTCTGCAAGATATTCTGGCTGATCGTAATGATAACCAATACGACTTTACAATTCATGTTTCTTTTCCTGCATGCGCGCTCCATCAACTTCACCGTTTTCATGTACGCGTTCGCCGCAACTCTGGCGTTGAGCATGAAGCTCATCAAACTAAGTATTTTCTGGTGCAATCAGCGGTGAGACATATATGATGTAACGTGTATTGTGCTTCTATCGTAAAGAGGTTCAGAGTACTTTCGTACACATCTTACTATCACTATGCACTTCAAAGCAAATAAAGGAATGACGAATAACAAGACAATCAAGTAAAAGTTAACCTCCGGTTTTTTTGCGTTATGTATATATGTGAAGTGAAAGAAATACAAAATGAGGTCGTACGTTTCGGTCCCGGTTTGGCATCTTCCGCAACGAACATATATTAAAAAATTGACAAGCAATTACACTTCTTAAAAGAACATCAGCTTAGTCAGCTGAAGTCATTAACTTAGAAGTATAGATCAATCCGTCTAAACTCGTTAGTAATATTCTATTAGATTTGACTTACATGTGTCAGTTATAAGACCGTGCATAGTTATCAACAAGTAGCAGTCGGACAAAACATGATTTCTAAATCAAAATCGGAACTGAAACATACGATCTCACTTTGCGTTTACATTTCACATATGTATATAATGTATATAACGCAAAAAACCAACGATCGACTCTTATTTGCCGTCTTGTCATCCTCCCTTCGTCTTGATTGAATATCATCAGAGTCGTTACACCTTCATTAATTATGCACTTCTGTAAGTTTATAATGAAAAATAGCAAACGGTATAATTACGGTGAGGTCGATTTTCTGATGCTGCAACTAAGTGAAGAAAAATTTTTTGTTAATTGTCGCGATTAGAGGCGTGCGTTTGCATAAACATGTTTGCAGCACCGAAATCGAGACTCATCGTGGCTGCACTGCAGCTCGTTGATTTTAATTGTGACGGTATGTAAAAATCCAAATGTCCCGGTAAGTTTTGTTACCGCCCGTAAGAATAACCGTTTATAGAAGATTCGACGAACTGTGGAGAACGATATCGATGAATTGGGAGCACAGCGGTGCCTTTGCGAGCGCAGTTAATATAACCGGCAAAAGACACATGTTGCATTTCTTGCCCAACTTCATCGTGATGTTCAATTCGTTGTCGGTAATAATGACGTCCTACAACGCCCTCAAGACCGGAATTCATTTCGACGAAGCTTCCAATGCAACGCGGCCGTACGTTCTGTTCATGCATCTTCCATTCGACGTTAATAGACAATCCGTCTATTTACTCGTGATATTTTTGCAATTTTTCTACTTGTTGATTTCATCCGCCGGTGCCGCCACTATTAATTCGGTTCTAATCATTTTGGTGAGTGTTCGTACCGGCGTTCGTATTCGGCGAAATAATTAAGCTCCTCCAGTTCGCCGTCCCACTTGTTCTATACTTTACTTTCTTATATTCTCGTTCTATGTCCATACTTTGTTATATATTCGTCCTGTGTCTATACTTTGTTTTATACTTCGCCCTATATTTTCCCTTTTTACTCTCTATACGAGAATGAACAGGATCGTGTCTTTTAGATGCTGTACTTGGGAGATCAGATCGATATCATTTGTAGATGCTTGACAAAGATGCCGCTGGAAGAGAATATGCGCAAAGCAAATGTGACTATTGTGAAAGAAATAATCCGGAAACATCAAAGTGTCATTGCCTTTTCGGAAAATGTCGAAGCTATTTATACGTACATCGCGTTGATATTACTCGTGCTTAATACCTTAATCACCTGCGGCTTGGGTTTCATACTTGTCACGGTGAGTACAACTAGTTTCATGATAAAGAAAACGATAATTACCGCGATCCATATGTAAACAACACGCAGGCTCGTTAACCGCATTCATGCGCTTAATATGTTATTAATAGTAATGAGATACGAGGGTAGGGTGAAAAGTTTCCGGCCTGATGAAGAAAAACAACTTTTTTCGTTTTTTTTTCGTTTTATTTTTCGTTTTATTTTTCAACAAAATCTCCATCAAGATTTATACATTTTTCATAACGGTGCTCTAATGCCAAAATACCATTTTTATAGTCCGATATGTCAAGTCCCTCAAAATACTCATTTACAGCATCGATGACTTCCTCGTTGGTCTCAAATTTTTTACCTCCGAGCCATTTTTTAAGGTTAGGAAACAAATGAAAGTCGCTGGGGGCTAAATCTGGTGAATATGCTGGTTGGGAGAACAATTCGAACTTCAATTCCTTGATTTTAGCCATCGCAGCGACCGACGAATGGGCAGGTGCATTGTCATGGTGAAACAAGATTTTTTTCTTCGCCAAGTGAGGTCGTTTATTTTTCATTTCGTCCTTCAAACGCTGCAATAACTCTGCGTAGTATTGACCAGTGATGGTTTTACCTTTCTCCAGGTAATCAATGAAAATAATTCCTTTCGCATCCCAAAAAACAGTCGCCATAACTTTATTCGCCGATAAAATTGTTTTTGCCTTCTTTGGGGTTGGTTTACCTGGTCCGATCCATTGTTTCGACTGTTTAGTTTCAGGAGTGTAGTGGTGAATCCAAGTTTTATCCACAGTTATCAATAGACGCAAAAATTCGCTGGGGTTTCACTTGTACAGCGCCAAATTTTCGATTGAAACAGTTTTCCGGGTGAATTTTTGATCGAACGTTAGCAAACGCAGCACCCACCTAGCACACAGCTTCCTTATGCTCAAATGTTCATGTAAAATATTGCGCACACGTTCAGTTGACATCCTAGTAGCCTCAGCTATCTTACTTTTAATCTGCGGTCCTCCATCACTATTTTATGAATTTTTTCAATCATTTCGGGAGTTGTGACCTCAACGGGGCGTCCTGAACGTGGATCGTCAGAAGTGCTCGTGCGACCTTTCTTAAATTCAGAAACCCACTGTTTAACCGTTGAATATGATGGAGAAGAGTCTTTCAGTGTGGAATCCAGCTCTTCTTTAATTTGTAATGGTGTTAGGCCTTTTAAATAAAAGTATTTGATGACAGCAGGCTTCTCTGATTTTTTCATTTTCACGTAAGCAATCGAGGCGTCCTATTCAACCGGCTCTCAAATGTACACAAATAGAGCAATCTACTTGAAAATTTATATACAATCTATTAAGATATAGTACCATAGAATACAAGCCAAAAATTAAACCTGCTGGCGCCATCTCTATTTCAGGCCGGAAACTTTTCACCCCACCCTCGTATGTTAATGTTGTACATCACAAAATAATATATTAATACAAATTAATTATTACTCGGTCGTTCATTCGCCACTTCATCATTTTTACCCATATGACTATTATAGTCAATCGGATCGCCCGACTTCTCTAAGATGGTGAAGAAGAACCTAATGTTCTATTCCGCGATTAACATTGAGACATTCGTGTTTTGCTTCGCCGGGGAATATCTTAGTGCCAAGGTAAGCTGCTTGCATCCGCAATTATCGGCGATGTACGTTAATAAACTTGACGTAGCACAAATTGTCAATCATAAAGTGTTTTCTTCCCCGCATATAGAGCAGAGAAATCGGCGAGGCTGCGTACAGTTCGCCCTGGTATCAGTCCAAGTTCCACTGTAACGCCGTTTTATTCATGATAATGAGATCGCAGAATCAGCTGACGATCACAATGGGAAAATTTACTAGTCTCTCGTTGGAGCTTTTTTCCAATGTAAGATGCACCGCGTAATTGGGGGAATAGCACTCTCTACGATATCGGAGTGACGCACTAATTAAAGCTGCATATTTGATATTTTTACAGATTTTGAAAACTTCAGGGTCCTACGTATCGGTATTGTTGGCGATGTATTGAAAAAAACATACTTTTTATTGATAATAAATTCTTAAAATAAATGTTACAAGTTACTAGTACGCTTAGTTGAAAATTCAATAAAATTGGCACACTATTCGCAATCGAGAAATGCCTTAATTTTGTCCAATTTTCAACACAGACGGTCAACAAAGAAACGTCTACACGCGTCACCTCTTATCGTTTAACTGATATCACGTCTATTGGTCTTCACGGAATCAATTAAGACACGTTTTTCACTCTTACCTTCGGCATCGAAGACGATGAGCTGGATGAAGAGCATCTCCGTTCGAATCGCAATCCGAAGTAGGAGGACTACACGTGTCAATACAACAAACGATGTCGGCTACCGCACTGATGGGCAAATGTGACATTTACAAAGCGCGACTACAAAGCTCGATATAGAGGAGTTTGCGTATTCTGAAGCAAACTTAATTCGTTGAAGCTAGCATTGACCTGCAGTTTGTAAAAGATTAAACGACATATAGCTCGCTCACCGTGAATCCGTCCATGTGTTGACTCCCCTTTAACTGCGCAACCCTCTGACTTATTTTCTTGAACATGTCGTCTACGGGACTATAAGAAACATTTTCTCTTCATTCTTCCTGGACATATAGTTATTCGAAAAAACACGAGATATATCTCCTTCAGCGGTCATGTACACTGTTATGCACGATTCGTCATCAGTCAATACGCGTAATTGTACGCCTACGAAAAGCATAAATTGTTCAAAACAATTGTTCTTGTCCCTTGAACCGCAATTATTAATTGGGAAACGCACTGACGGTGTATCCTTTGCTATCATTTTTCTTTCCATCTATGAACATTGAGAAACGTGCTAAGTCTACACATGCTTGACTTCTTGAAAGACTCCTTGAACTTTAAAGAAAATTAAAGAGTGCTGTCCGTCAAGTCAAGAACATTTCGCTTACCCTGTAAACATTTCTCCATTTAATCCGTGTTTTTTTAAATAGTGGTATCGAGAGGTATCGAGAAAATGTAAAGAACTTAGACGCGGCCTATCATGATGTAAACGCAAGCAGAAATAATTAATGAACAATTACTACTCGGACCGCAGAGAAGAATATTCGGCAGGCTTTATCTTCCGTCGAGAGCCCTCAGTTCACGGTAGGACATCTCATTACACACTTCGTTCGATAATCAACGCGTCTGTATACGATATAAAGTCCGTTGCAGAATTATTACGTTGCCGAGACCTCCTTTCGCAAAGAACTGAAGGGCGCAAACATGGAAAAATCGAAAAGCGTACACTCGGGAAGAATTATTAGTTGGCCGCTCGAAATGCTACTTCGAGTATTCGGCATATGGCCAGGCATATCATACGCTCCACTTTGCAAAATATTCTGGATGACTGTAATGATAATTTACACGTCTTTTCCATACATATTTCTTATCCTCCACGCGGACTCTGCCAATCTTACCATATTTATGTATGCGGTCGCTATATCTTTGTCGATGAGCATCAAGTGTTTTAAAATATGCGTTTTCTGGTATAATCAGCGGTGAGATATACATGATGTAATGTGTATTATTCGTGTAGAATCGTAATAAGATCCATAGTATATTTCGTGTGTAGAGTTTCGTGTACGTTTAACTATCACTATGCATTTCTATAAGTTTTTATTGAGAAACCGAATGCAGTGTAATTGCGGTGAGGTCGATATTTCAATGCCGCGATTGAGTGACAAAAAATGTTGAGTTAATTTTCGTACTCTTATAGAGATTAAATATGTGCGTTTACTGAAACAATATGCACGTTTATAGCAGCGAAGTCGATACTAATCGTGATTATATTGCAACACCTTGATTATTATAATGGCCATATGTAAAAATCCAAATGTCGCGGGAAGTTATTATCACTCGTAAGAATAATTGCTTGTAGAAGATTCGACGAGATGTGGGAAATAGTGTTGTGGAATTGGAAGCACAGCAGTGTCTTTGCCAGCGAAGATGATACAATCGGCAAAAGATACATCTTGCATTTCGTGCCCAACTTCATCGTGGCATTCAATTCGATGTCGGTAACAATGACTTCCTACAACACCCTCAAGACCGGAATTCATTTCGACGAAGATTCCAACGCAACGCGGCCCTACATCCTATTGTCTAATTTTCCATTTGACAATAACAAACAAGTGTATATATTCATAATATTTCTACAGTTTTTCTACGTGTTGATTCTATTCTCTGCCGCCACTACTATTAATTCGGTTCTTTTGGTTATTTTGGTGAGTGCTCATAGCAGCATTCGACAAAATTAAACTCGTTCAGTTTGTTATTATTTTGTTTTGTAATACACTCTTCCTATGACTATATTTTACTATATAGTTGGACTTACGTTTTCCCTCTTTACTTTGTAAGAAAATGAACAGGCTCCTATCTTTTAGATAATGCACTTAGGCCATCAGATCGATGTCATTTGTGAATGTTTGATGAAGATGTCGTCAGAAGAGAACATGCGTAAGACGAATGTGACTATGATGAAGGAAACAATCCGGCAACATCAGAGTGTCATTACCTTTTCTGAAAATATCGAATATCTCTATACGTACATCGCACTGATATTAGTCCTATTCAGTTCCATCATATCTTGCGGCTTGAGTTTCGTACTCGTCGTGGTGAGTAAATACGATAAGTTTCATAGCCAAAAAATTAATGATTACTACAGATAAATCCTTGTCGAATAATCCATCTTCGAACAATATGCAAGTTCACAATGGTGTTTCTCCATTTAATATGCTATTTCATAATAATTAATAGTAACGAAGAATGTTAATATTGCATAACACGAGATAACATATTAATACAAGTTAATTATTACTCGATCGTTCTGCCCCCAAAATGTCGGCGTAATTTTTCGACTATTACAGTCAATCGCATCGCCCCACTTTTCCAAGATAGTAAAGAAGAATATCATGTTCTTTGGCGTGGTTACCATTGAGTCATTCATATTTTGCTTCGCCGGGGAATACCTTAGTTCCAAGGTTAGCTGTTGCATCCACAACCATCGGCAGTGTGCGTTAATAAATGCGACGTAGCACAAATAGTCAATCATAAATTGTTTTCTTCCCCGCATGTAGAGCAGAGAAATCGGCGAGCCTGCGTATAGTTCGCCCTGGTATCAGTCCAAGTTCCACGGTCACGCCGTTTTATTCATGATAATGAAATGGCAGAATCAGTTGACGATCACAATGGGAAAGTTTGCGTGTCTCTCGTTGGAGCTATTCTCCAGTGTAAGATGCACCGCCTAATTTGGCGTTGTAATCCCCGCGATAACGAAGTGATACATTAATTAAGGACATACATTTTGATATTTTTGCAGATTATAACAACTTCTGGGTCCTACGTGTCGGTACTGTTGGCGATGTATTGAGGAGAAAACACACTCCATACTAATAATACTTAGTCTTTAAAAGAAATGCAAGATAAGATATTACAAGATATAATCAGTACGCGTAGCTAGGAATTAAATAAAATTAGCACACTCTTCGCAATTGAGAAATGCCGTAATTTTATCTAATTTTCAACACGCAGCATGCCGTACGTCAATTCAAGAGCGATTCGCAGAAGACATTTCTCCGTTTATCTTGTGTTCTTTTCAAGAAATATCGAGGACACACGCGAATCGCATAATGTGCGCATGCAAATATTTAATAGGTGATTGCCACTAGAAAACGTGTTACACATTATTTATGTCGTGCACATCTATTTTTCTCTATGAATCCACCTGTATATGTGTGCATAAGTCCCTTCCTGAGGCGATCCTCCGACCTATTTCCTCGGTATATTATCTTTGGCGGACTATAAGATATCTTTTCTTTTACTCTTTGGAAATCGCTTATTCGGAAAAACCCGAGATATCTTCTTCAACGGTTATGCATAGTTCGTCAATCGATATGTGCATGCGTGTCACGTGTACGCTTACGAAAAACTTGAATTTTTTATGTGAATCGTTCTTGGCCGTCGTCCCTCAGATTATATTTGGAAGACGGAACGTTGTTTTGTCTTCTGTATTTCTATTTCTAGACAATATACTAGGAAATAAAATGACAAAATCTGCAGCTGATGTGCAATACACTGTTGCGAAAATTAATAATACATGTCAGACAGGTATTATGTGGGAATCTGAATAATCTGTAATTTTTTGTTTCACACACACAAATATTCGATTTTTCCAAACAGTATCCCAATAATATCCACGAAGTTCATTACTGGACAAATATCTGAATATCCGAAACCAGATATTACCTGATTTATAATAATAGCACTACATAATGAGAATCTTAATAAATATAAAAAAGAGACTTCGTCATAGAAAATCCGCATATTAACTGAAGTTGAAGAAAATAGTCTCGATATTATTTAATGTTCTCGGCTATCGCGTGCGTCGAGCTTATTACGAAGTAACACGTAAATACGTCCATCAAAATTAAAAATAAACTCAACAAAGAAATTTCAGAAGTCATTAACCTTCAATGCGTAAATTTTAAACAATACCACACAACCATACACGAGCCAGCACATTCATACAGGTTGGAATTTTATTTTTCCCCCGATATTTCGTGCGTTATATTCCGCGGGTTCTTCAGTGCGCATATTTGACTTTCATACACCCACAATTCCCGTCCTTGTACGATACCCTGCATTATTAAGGCCAAGCAAACCCCGAGAGGGCAGCAATAGCGTCATATGTAAAAAATCTCTCAACCAACCGCTGTTCCTTCTTTTTCTTGAAAGCGACTTTCTATAAAAAGATGGAGAAATATTGTCCGCGATGGCTAAAAACAATTTGACATCCGACGAGTCTCGTGTGTCAATGTATGTTTGACTCCTTGAATTTTTAAAGGAAATTGCTCATCACGATGTGCTGTTCGTCAATTCAAGAGCCGATCGCTTTCCCTGAGGACATTTCTCCCCTTGTTCACTTTTTTCCAAGAACGTATCGAAAATTATCGAGAAAATACGGCGAATGTACACGCGACCGTAAGATGGACGAGTGCAAATTTAATGATCAATTCCTACCGAGATCGTGGAAGGGAGGGTTCGTCCGGTTTATCCTTCGTCGAGACACTTCAGTCTACGGAAAGACATTTAGTCGTGCACATCGTCTAGCAATCAACGCGACCACATATTAATAACGTCCGATACGGAACCGACGCGTTACCGTAATCATATTTCGCGAAATAACGAATAGCGTAAACATGGAAAAGTCGGCAAGACTGATCAGTTGGCCGATCAAGATGCTACTTTGCCTGTTCGGCATATGGCCAGGTTTCTCGTACGGTTTGTTCTTCAGAGCGTTTTGGTTGATCGTAATGGTAACCTGCATGATTCTTCAGTACTCGTTTCTTTTTATCAACGCGCGTTCAATCAACTTTACCATTTTTATGTACGCGCTCGCTCTGACTCTGGCGATGAGTCGCCAATTTATGAAAATGATAATTTTCTGGTCCCATCAGCGGTGAGGCATGTAGTGTATAATGCGTATTGTGCATGTAAAACTCAATCGAGAATATTTTCCTGCGCGTGCGATAATCACTATATATACTGAGAAGAAAAATATGTATAATGTAGCCTGGTATTTATATTTTAATATTATATATTAAATGATTGACTTAATATTACATATTAAATAACTGTATATTATTACAATTGCGTATATGTGGTACAATTATGCCAATGAGAATTATTTTTTTTAGTAAGTGTTACTACAGTATCAGTGATAATAACTTTACATATATATTATTATTACTATTTCGTAGATTAAAACCGGAAGAAAGTATAGCTAAAACCGATCCATAAATTTAACGAGATTTCTCTCAGTGTATATAAGTATTTATCGGAAATCTGTAAGCGGTGTAATCACGGTGAGTCCAATCTTCCGATACCGCGTGCAGAAAGACGTTGTCGTATCGTCGCAATTAAACATTCTCTTGTACGCAGCATCGAGATCGAAACTCATTGTAATTGCATCGTGACTTTACAGCTATATCTTCGTGGTCATTACAAATCTGAAAAAATGCCGGTGAATAATACTGTCGTCTGTAAAAATAATCGCTTGTAGAAAGTTCAACGAGCTGTGGGGAACGATGTCGATGAATTTAGAGCACAACAGTGCCCTCGCGAGCACGGGAGACACAGCCGGCAAAACATACGTGTTACGTTACTTACCTAACTTCATCGTGGGATTCAATTCGGCGTCGGTGTTACTGAATTCCAGCGCCGCCGTCTTGGGCGCTTTTCATTACGACGAAGCTTCCAACGCAACGCGGCCGTTTGTCGTGATAATGCATCTTCCATTCGACGTTAATAAACATTCCGTGTATTTAACCATCGTACTATTGCAATTTTCTTACCTGTTGATCCTTTCCGCTGGAGCCGCCACTGTTAATTCGGTTCTTATCATTTTGGTGAGTGTCCTCTAAGCGGTGTGCGAAAAATAATTAAGTTCGCCAAATTCACTGTCAATTTCCCTTTCCCTTTTCAATTCCCTTTCTCAATTTTAATTTCAATTTCATTTCAAACTCGAATGAACAGAGTGCTATATCGCAGGTGCTACATTTAGGCGGTCAGATCGATGTCATTTGTAAATTCTTGACGGAGTTGCCGCAAGGAAAGAACGACCAGATGGCAAATGTCACGGTGCTGAAGGAAATAATCAAGAAACACCAGAGGGCCATTACCTTTTCAGAAAATATTGAATCACTGTACACATATATCGCGCTGGTGTTGGGTTTGATTAATACCTTAGTCACCTGCGGCTTGGGTTTCATCCTCGTCATAGTAAGTAGCCACGATAAATTTCACAACAAAAGCTGTAAGGATTATTGATACTAAGTCCTTATCAACAAGTCCGCCTGCGAACAATATGTGCAAAACTTTAATTGTTTTTAATGATATCTATTAATACTATAGTAACTGTGCAGGCAGAATGGATTAATCGAGTAGGAAAGTCATGTACAATTTTACCAAATTTGCAATACTTAATGAGGAAATAATTAATCTGTATGAGCTAATGAACACACGCAGTAGATAGGAATTTGTATAAAGAAAAATGAATTACTTCTGGAGATCTCCAAGTAACGATGAGCATCGATTGATTTCTAGATGTGTAGTAATGCAGCGAGCTGCGAGCGGCATGTGACATAGAGTTACGCGCCGAAAATAAATTCATTTCTCGCTATCAATCATCAACCATCGTTGTTAGATCTTCGGGAGTTGGCCATTTTTCTTTATACAGAGTCCGGCTTACCTCTTCCCATACGCTTATTAGCTTATACAAATTAATCAATTCTTCATTAATTATTACGAGTTTTGCAAAATGGTATATGCCATTGCAATCAGTTTAACACCATTTTACCTGCAGCCGGCCGTTCATCAAAATTTTCAGGATACGCTGCATATTTAAACGAGTTAATTATTATTCGATCGATATGCCAATATTATCAGTGTATTTTTATTGCTATTACAGTCCGTTGGATCGCCTAATTTCACTAAGATGATAATAAAGAACCTCACGTTCTACTGCGTGCTTAATATTGAGACATTGGTACTTTGCTTCGCCGGGGAATACCTCACCGCCAAGGTTAGCTCTTTAGGTTAGCGTCCGTAATCATCGACAGTGCGCGATAATGAATGTAACGTAACATGGATTTTTTCCGATTATGACGTGTTTTTTCTTTATATATAGAGCAAAGAAATCGGCGACGCTGCGTACAATTCACCTTGGTATCAATCCAAATTTCACGGTCGGATCGTTTTGTTTATAATAATGAGATCGCAGAAACAGTTGACGATCACAATGGGGAAGTTCATGGATCTTTCTTTGGAACAATTCGCCAATGTAAGACGGTCACATAGATTTCGTGTTGCACCTTACATGGTATTCGAGTTACATTTCGCGTGAATTAAAGACGCACAGTCGACATTATTGCAGATTGTAAAAGCTTCAGCGTCCTACATGTCGGTCCTGCTGGCGGTGTATTGAAAAGAATATCTTATTCAAAATAAACACATGACTGAATATTAAGACTTATTAGAGGAATTAGTAGGTTAAAATTTTCAGTAGTTCAGTAGAAATGATTAGTGTTTAGAAATTAAAGAGATTTAGCATACGCTATTGTTTACTGTTGATAAGTGCCTTTCGCAGACCAATTCCCAATGCTCAACCGGTTAGCGACGAAACGTTTATGTATAGCGCTTTTTTTCATCAAATAGATATGTCACGCTGATTTGCGCAGTTTTCGCCTTTATCTATGATGCAGTGCCTATATTTGCATCGCAATAAGATTGCATGTATTATTGTCAACGTGATACCGCCGAGAGCAACAATGTTACATTGTAAAGCAAGCGCCACGGTAACACGTAAATATAACGGTGACAGTTTTTGAAGTGCGACGTCTACGTCCTCCGACTGCGGTTATAATTCGTTGAAAGTAACAAAGACCTGCATATATTCCTCTTTATGAATCCCCCCCCCCCTTGCCTTTCCGGCGAAAGTTTCCGATTTATACCCTCGGACTAATCTTTGCTCGCGTGTACTTCTAAATAACACGTGAGTCCTTTTATCGAACGTAAGAATAAACTCAACAAAGGAGCGTTAGAAGGCAAATTAATAACCGGAAATACGCTAAGTTAAAATAGTACCACGTTATATGCACGCACGCACGCACACATGCAATTTTATTTTCCCTCCGATATCTCATGTGTTGCCTTCCGAGTTCTCCAGCGCGCATGTTTGACTTTCATATACCTACAGTCTTTGTCCTTGCACGATACCCTGCATTATTAAGACAAGCAAACCTTGAGAGGGCAGTATTTGCGCTATATATAAAAAATCCCTCAACCAACTACTGTCTCTTCTTTTTCTTGAAAGTGACTTTCCATTTGAAAACGAAGGAATATTATTCACGATCGCTAGGTATAATTTGACATCCGACGGATGTCGTGTGCCACGTCTACGTATGCTTGACTCCTTGAATCTTTCAAGAAAATTGCTCATTACGATGTGCCGTTCGTCAATTCAAGAGCCGATCGCTTTCCCCGAGGACATTTCTCCCCTTGTTCACTTTTTTCCAAGAACGTATCGAAAAATATCGAGAAAATACGGCGAATGTATACGCGACCGTAAGATGCACGAATGCAAATTTAATGATCAATTCCTACCGAGATCGTGGAAGGGAGGGTTCGTCCGGTTTATCCTTCGTCGAGACACTTCAGTCCACGGAAAGACATTTAGTCGTGCACATCGTCTCAATCAACGCGACCACATACAATAACGTCCGATACGGAACCGACGCGTTACCGTGGTCATATTTCGCGAAGTGCCGGACAACGCAAACATGGAGAAGTCAAAAAGACTGATCAGTTGGCCGCTCGAGATGCTGCTTCGTATGTTCGGTATATGGCCAGGCTTTTCGTACAGTCTGCTCTGCCAAGTATTTTGGACGACCGTAATGATAACCTGCATGAGTCTTCAATACATGTTTCTTGTTATCCACGCGCGTTCTGTCGACCTGACTATTTTTATGTACGCGATTGCTCTGACTCTGGCAATGAGTACGAAGTTTATGAAAATAGTTTTTTTCTGGTTCCATCAACGGTGAGACATAGCAAAATATAATACGTATTGTGCATGTAAAGTCGCAACGCGATCGAAAATATTTTCCTGCGTGTGTAATAATCACTATGTACACTGAGAAAAAAAATGTTCAGATATTTATATGTTAACGTCATACATTATTATAATATTATATATTATTATTGTCGCGCATATGTGATAGAATTACAGTAATGAGAAATATTTTTCTAATAAACGTTACTACAATGTCAGTAATAATAATTTTACATGCATATTGCTACTCCTTTTTTCGTGGATTACAAACAAAATATAGTTAGGACTAAAAATGTCTATAAATTTAGTGAGATTTCTTTCAGTGTACATAAGTGTTTATCAGAAATCCGGAAACGGTGTGATTACGGTAAGTTCAATCTTCCGATACCGCAACCGTGTGGAAAGAAATGTTGTCGTATCGTTGCCGTTAAGTGTGAACGTTCGCTTGAATGTCTTGATAGCATCGAAATCGAGATTCATCATGATTACATCATGATTCTTCGGCTATATCAGTATGGTCATTATATAACTGGAATACTGTCGGTGAGTGACATTGTCGTATGTAAGAATAATCGTTTATAGAAGATTCAACGAGATGTGGGGGACGATGTCGATGAATTCAGAGCACAGCGGAGCCTTCGAGAGCGCAGCGGACAGCAAAACGCACATATTACGTTACTTACCCAACTTCGTCGTGGCATTCAATTCGGTGTCGGTGGTAATGAATTCTAGCGCCGCCCTCCTGGGCGTTTTTCATTACGACGAAGCTTCCAACGCGACTCGGCCGTACGTCGTGACAATGCATCTTCCATTCGATAATAATAAACAATCCGTACACGCAACAGTCGTATTACTGCAATTTTCTTATCTGTTGATCCTTTCCGCTGGGGCTGCCACCATTAATTCGGTTCTCATTATTTTGGTGAGTGTTCTATTAGCGTTAGACGAGAAATAATTATGTTCGACAAACTCATTGCCAATTTCTCCTTGCTTCACATTCGAATGAACAGGGTATTGTCTTGTAGGTGCTGTATTTAGGCGGTCAGATCGACATTATTTGCCGAACCTTGACGCAGATGCCGCAGAGACAGAACGATCGCGTGGTGAACGCAACGATAATGAAGGAAATAATTAAGAAACACCAGAGGATCGTTACCTTTTCGGAAAACATCGAGTCACTGTATACATATATCGCGCTGATATTACTCCTACTCAATACCTTAATCACCTGCGGCTTGGGTTTCATACTCGTCTCGGTGAGTAGCCACGACAAGTTTTACAGCAAGTTTTTACAGCATAGGAGCAACGATTAGTCCTGCAGGTAAGTCCTTATCAACAAGTTCAACCGTGGACAATAAGTTCAAAATTTTATTCGTGTCTATGCAATGAAACATATTTATTCTTTATCATTCGAAGTAACATATTTACATGAGTTAATTATTACTCGAACGATAAACCGGCATTATCGGCGTATTTTTCCGCTATTACAGTCTGCTGGGTCACCTAATTTTTCTAAGATGCTAATAAAAAATCTCATGTTCTACTGCGTAATTAATATTGAGACATTTGTATTTTGCTTCGCCGGGGAATACCTTAGTGCCAAGGTTAGTTCTTCCGTTTGTAATCATTGACATTGTGCGACAATGAATGTAACGCGACACGAAATTTTTCCATTTTGAAGTGTTTTTTTTCGTATATAGAGCAGAGAAATCGGCGAGGCTGCGTACGGTTCGCCCTGGTACCAATCGAAGTTTCATGGCCGAGCCGTTCTGTTCATGATAATGAGGTCGCAGAATCAGTTGACGATCACAATGGGAAAGTTCATGGATCTGTCGTTGGAACGATTCTCCACTGTAAGCCGGCCAGATTTCGCGTTGCATCTTATGCAGTATTCGAGTTACGTTTTGTATGAAATAATGATGTATAATCAACATTGTTCCAGATTGTGAAAGCTTCAGCGTCCTACATGTCGGTTTTGCTGGCGATGTATTGAAGAGAATATCTTCTTTGTAATAAATAATTTAAGTGAATGTTAATACTTATTGGTTGGAAGTTAGTAGCTAGGAATTGTCAGTAGTTAGATATTAGTAGTAGTTAGGAATTAAAAAATTTAGTAAGCAATTTTTTGTCAAGAAATGTCTTGCCACCGACTAATTTCCAATATTCAACTTTGTCAGTGTCAAATCGTTTACATACAGTATTTCTTTTCGTCGAATGGACTTATCACATTGATTTTTACGGTTCTCACCTTTATCCTTGATGCAGTAGATATATTTGAATAGATAATCACAATAGGAAACGGCAGGATCACGTATGGAATTGACAATGCAATATTCCAGCAATATTATATTGCAAAAACGAGCACTACAGTGATACGTGAATATAACGGCGACTGTCTTTAAGCAGGACGTCTAGGTCCTCCGGTTGCAGTTATAATTCCTTGATGATAGCGATGACATGCACAGCTTTCTCTCTGTGAATACACCCTTGAATGTCTTTCCAGCGCGAACCTCCGGCTTATCTCCTCGGACTTTCGTTTCTTCGGCGCGTTCCACGCAAAAAGTCAATGGAACGCGCGTGGATGACAAGAAATATGTACTGAAGAATCATACAGATTATCATTGCGATCATCCAAAACACTTTACAGAGCAGGCCGTACGATAAGCCTGGCCATATGCCGAAAAGGCAGAGTAGCATCTGAAGCGGCCAGCATCAGTCTTTTCGACTTTTCCATGTTTACGCTGTCTGCTATTTCGCGAAATATAACCACGGTAACGCGTCGGTACCGTATCGGACGTGTTGATAGCCGGACAATGTGCACGACTAGGTGTCCTTCCGTGAACTAAAATGTCTCGACGAAGTATAAACTGGACGAACCTTCCCTTCTACGATCTCAGTAGGAATTGGCCATTAAATTTGCATTTGCGCATCTTACGATCGCGTGTACATTCGCCGCGTTTGCTCGATATTTCTCGATATTTTTCTTACAAAAAAATATGAACAAAAGCAGAAATGTCCTCGGGGAAAGCGACCCGCTCTTGAATTGACGAACGGTACGTAGCAATGAGCAATTTTCTTTAATGATTCAATGAGTCAAGCATGCGTAGACGTGGCATACGACATCCGTCGTATGTCAAATTGTTTCTGATTGTGAACCGTGTTTCACTGTTCTCGATGCTCAGCGGAAAAAATATATAGAATACACAACAACGTTGTGTTTCTCAATTGTTAACTATGGTATAGCGGCTTAGGACGATTCACTTGAAAAACGCGCGTTCTATTGACTTTACACTTTTTATGTACGCGTTCGCTCTGACCCTGGCGCTGAGCACGAAGTTGATTAAAATAGTCCTTTTCTGGTCCCATCAGCGGTGAGACATGTAGGATATATATTATATATTGTGCATTTAAAATCGTAATGCGATCGAGAATACTTTCATACGCGTATGATGATCACTGTGTACACTGAGAAAAAACGTCTAGCATTTATAATTATAATCACGCATGTGTGTTAGGATTACATTCAACATAAACATTTTGCCAATAAGCTTTACTACACTGTCGGTAATAATATTTCAACATGCATATTGCCACTACCATTTTGTAGATTAAAACCAGAAGAATGTATAGTTAAGACCGAGAAAGTCTACAAATTTGGAGGAATTTCTCTCAGTGTATATGAGTGTTTATCAAAAATGCGGAAGCGATGTGATTACGGTGAGTTCAATCTTCCGATACGGTGACTGTGTGTAAAGAGATGCTGTCGTATCATCGCGATTAACCCTTGTGTCAATGGATGGGTACTCGGATATTTTAATTTTTTCCTACGTTTTCAGGCGATTCTTCAGTTCGATCGTACGTCTTTACAGCATCAGACTTGGAACTTATCGTGATTACATCGTGACTCTTCAACTATATAAACATGGTCATTATAAGAATAAAAAGACTACAGTTGAGTGATATTTTTTTTGTCGCCTGTAAGTATAATCGCTTGTAGAAGATTCAATGAGATGTGGGGAACCATGTCGATGAATTCAGAGCAAAGCAGTGCCCTCACGAGCGTAATAGACACAGTCGGCAAAACGCACATATTACATTACTTGCCCAACTTCATCGTGGCATTCAATTCATTGTCGGTGATAATGAACTCTAGCATCATCCTTTTGGCCGTTTATCGTTATGACGAAACGTCCAACTCGACGCGGCCATACGTCATGATGATGCATCTTCCATTCGTCAATAATACACCCGTGTATCTGATTGTGTTATTACTGCAATTTTCTTATCTGTTGATCCTTTCCGTTGGAGCCGCCACCATTAATTCGGTTCTTATTATTTTGGTGAGTGTTCCATAAGCAGTATACGAGAAATATTTAGTTAAATTAATTAAAAGCTCGTCGAACTGACTGCTAATTTCTTTTTGTTTCACACTCGAATAAACAGGGTGCTTTCTTTTAGGTGCTGTATTTAGGCGGCCAGATCGATATTATTTGTAAATCTTTAACGCAGATGTCGCTAGCACAAAACGATAATATAGCGAACGTGATGATGGTGAAGGAAGTAATCAGGAAGCACCAGAAAGTCATTTCCTTTTCAGAAAATATCGAATCACTGTACACATACATCGCGCTGATATTAATCCTGCTTAATACCTTAATCACCTGCGGCTTGGGTTTCATACTCGTCTCAGTGAGTAATCATAAGTTTAACAACAAAAAGTGTTGCGACTACTGCAGATAAGTACACTCGAAGACAATATGTGTAAAACTTGTTTATGTGTTTAACCCTTTGCATTCGAAGTTTTTTTTCATTCATATTACCAGCAACTCGAAGCAATTTCAGTGGAAAGATCATATTCACATATAAGTAAATGATATGCGCATTAAAAGAAAAGTCATTATTGTATGTTATTGTTTTTTTAATTTTGTTAATTTGTTAATAGTTGTTAATAGTTTGTTTTAAGTTTGAAGACAAATTTTAAATGGCTCCGCTTCGGAGCCCTCAAACGCAAAGAGTTAATATGTCATTAGTAGTAAAAAAACATATTAATATGTTAAAACACGAAATAATATATTAATATCAGTTAATTATTATTGGATCGATACGCCGGTATCATAAGCATATTTTTACTGCTATTACAGTCCGTTGGGTCCCCCTATTTCTCTAAGATGTTAATAAAGAACTTCATGTTTTACTGTGTGGTTAACATCGAGACATTCGTATTTTGCTTTGCCGGAGAATACGTGAGCGCAAAGGTTAGTTCTTGCGTCCGTAATCATCGACAGTATGCGGCAATAAATATAATGTAACATGGATTTTTTTCCATTTTGAAGTATTTTTTCTCCATATGTAGAGCAGATAAATCGACGAGGCTGCGTACGGTTCGCCCTGGTATCAATCGAAATTTCACGGTCACGCCGTTTTGTTCATGATAATGAGATCACAAAATCAGTTGACGATCACAATGGGAAAGTTCATGGATCTCTCGTTGGAACGATTCTCCACTGTAAGACGCGCTACGTAAATTTCGCATTGCACTTCACACGATATTCGAGTTATATTTCGTGCGATTTAAAGATGCACATTCAACATTGTTGCAGATTGTAAAAGCTTCGGCGTCCTATATGTCCGTTTTGCTAGCGATGTATTGAAAAGAATATTTACTTCGTAATAAATAATTTAGCCGAATGTTACAATGTTAACCATGTATCGTCAAAATTGGAAGTACATGTTGAAACAAAACAAAATCCTGTAAAACTCTATAATTACAATTTAGTACTTCGAATTTAGAGGCATTACTCAATAGTATCTCAAAATTTGAGGTACTAACCTCGAAAAGTACCTCGCGATTATGTAGGGTTCTTATTTCAAAATATACTACCAACATTCGCGGTACAAGGTTAACAGTGTAAGACTTATTAGTTAGGAATTAGTAGCTAGGAATATTGTTAGTAGAAAGTGTCAATTGCCAGAAATTATTAGTGATGAGAAATTAAAGAGAGATTTAGCGAACAATTTGCCGAGTCGAGTAATGTCTTGTGTGCCACCGATCAATTTCCAATATCTAGCTGGCCAGCGATGACATTTACATGCGGCGCTTCTTGTTTGTCAAATAGATATATCACATTGATTTTCGCCATTGGTTTTCACCCTTATCCTTGATATTCATGCTTGAATCGCAATAAGAAACGGCAGGATCGCATATACCATTGTGCGCAAGCACGATAACGCGTAAATATAACGGCGGTGGTTTTTAAAGCGTGACATCTACGTTCTCTGGCTGAAGTTATAATTCATTAAAAGTAACGGTGACATTTTCTCCCACTGTGAATTCACCTGCGTGCATCTTTTCGGCGTAAACCTCCGACTTATGTTCTCGGACTATTGTCTTCAGCGGGCGCTAAGAAACTTTTTCTCTTCGCTCCCTTGGAAATTGCTTATTCGGAAAAACTCGAGACATCTTCTTCGGCGGTACACAATTCGCCAATCGATATGCGTATGCGTGTCGCGTGTACGCTTACAGAAAGTTTGAATTTTTCAAGAGAACCTTTCTTGGCGGCCGTACCGCATTTAACAATTGGGAAACGGACCATTGCTGTTGGTCATCGCGTGCCTTACGTGGTTATCATACACATGAGTTACTTTGTTGAGAGTAAGAACAAATTCAACAAAAGGGCCTCAGTAGGATGTAAGTTAACAAATCAATAAGAAATAAACAAAGTTCTCCGTATAAAGAGCACCGCACTAGCGTGTGCGAGAGTGCACACACACACACACACATTGTAATTTTATTTTCTCTCTGATATCTCGTGCTTAACTCAGTTTTCAGCGCGCCAGGTTTTGCATACATTCATATTTCCCATCCTTGCATGGTACATTACATTATTAAAGCAAGCAACACTCGAGTGCATAACAATCGCGCTATACGTAAAAAATCCTTCGACCAACTGCTGTCTCTTCTTTTCTCTTGAAGATGATGTTTCATAAATCAGGAGAACATTATCCGTGATCGATAGGAATAATGTGGCATTCGGCGGATACAATGTATACGCATGCTTGACTCCTTGAATCTTTAAAGAGCTTAAATTGCTCATTGCAGCGTGCCGTTCGTCAATTCAAGAGCCGATCGCGTCTCCCGAGGACATTTCTCTTCTCTTCCCCTTTTTATGGCGAGAAAACGCAGCGAGTGGTCCCGCGACTCGTGTGGTACGCGAATGCAAATATTTAATGATCAATTCCTATTGGGGTTGAAGAAGGGAGCGCTCGTCCGATTCACCTTCCCGTTGAGACACTTTAGTTCACGAAAGGATCTGGCCGTATACATTGTCCGGCAATCAACGCGTGCACATACGACAGCGTCCGACACGGAATTACCGACATCCTCTTTCGTGAAATAACAGAGAGCAAAAAGATGAAGAAATCGAGCAGCGTGCAAACTCAAAGATTGATCAGTTGGCCGCTCAAGATGTTACTTTGCCTGTTTGGCATATGGCCAGGCTTATCGTACAGTCTGCTCTGCAAAGTGATCTGGATGATTACAATGACAACCTACACGATTCTTCAGTACACGTTTCTTGTCATCCACGCGCGTACCATCGACTTCACCATTTTTATGTACGGGTTCGTTATGGCCCTGGCGCAGAGTAACAAGTTTATGAAAATAGTCTTCTTCTGGTTCAATCAGCGGTGAGATATATTGCGTATTGTACGTGTAAAATCGTAATGAGATCGAATTTTCGTGCGTGTGTAATGATCGCTATGTATGTACACTGAGAAAAAATCTCTGGTATTTGTAGTAACTGTAACTGCATATATGAGAAAATTACTTTGAAGAGAATCCCATTTTTCTCGTAAGTGTTGCTATAATGTCAGTGATAATAATCTTACAAATTGCTCTAATACCGATTGCGAGTTAAAACCAAAAGAAGGTATAGTTATAACGGAAAATATCTAGAAATTTAGAGGATTTTTCTCAATGTATATAAGTGTTTATTGAAAGCGATGAGGAAGCGATCCGGAAGCGATGTGATCACGGTGAGTTCGATCTCCCGATGCTGCGACTGTAAAAAGAGATGTGTAGAAGATGTGTCATTATGATTAAATGTGAACGTTTTTTGTACGTGTTTACAGCATCGGTATCGAAACCCATCGCGATTATATCGTGACTCTTCGACCGTATAAATATGATAAATATAAAAACGAAAAACTTTCGGTCTGTGGTATTACCGCCAGTAAGAATAATCGCTTGTAGAAGATTTAACAGGATGTGGGGGACGATGTCGATGAATTCCGAGCCTAGCAGTGTCTTTGCGAACGTAGGTGATACGGCCGGCAAAACGTACATGTTGCATTTTTTACCTAACTTCATAGTGGCATTTAATACGGTGTCAGTGATACTCAACTGTAGCGTCATCCTCAAGGCCGTTTATCATTATGACGAAACGTCCAACGCGACGCGGCCGTATCTCATGATGATGCATCTTCCATTCGTCCATAATCAACCCGTGTATCTAATCGTGATATTACTGCAATTTTCTTATCTGTTGGTCCTCACCGCCGCGGCCACCACCATTAATTCGGTTCTTATTATTTTAGTGAGTGTTCTGTAAAGCAATATACGAGAAGTAATTAAGTCCGTCGGATTCACTGTCAATTTCCCTTTCTTTTACGCTCAAACGAACAGGTTGCTGTCTTTTAGGTGCAGTACTTAAGCGGCCAGATCGATGTCATTTGTAAATCCTTGATGCAGATGTCGCAGAGACAGAACGAACGCATGGCGAACGTAACGATGGTGAAGGAGATAATTAGGAAACATCAGAATGTCATTACCTTCTCGGAAAATATCGAGTCATTGTACACATACATCGCACTGATATTACTCCTGCTCAATACCTTAATCATCTGCGGTTTGGGTTTCATACTCGTCACAGTGAGTAACCACGACAAGTTTCACAGCAAAGAGAGTAATAATTATTGCAGATAAGTATTTATCAACAGGCCCGCCTGTAAACAATATGTGCAAAACTATAATCGTGTTTATGAGACATATTAATACCTTATGACACGAAGTAATATATTCATACGAGTTAATTATATTAATCGAATTGACGGTATTATCGGCGTAATTTTACTGTTATTACAGTCCATGGGATCGCCTAATTCCACTAAGATGTTGATAAAAAATCTCTTGTTTTATTGCGCAATTAACATGGAGACCTTCGTGTTTTGCTTCGCCGGGGAATATATTAGCGCCAAGGTTAGCTCTTGAGTCCGCAATCATCGACAATGTGTGATAATAAATCTAATGTAAAATGGATTTTTGATTATGAAGTGTTTTCTTCTCCGCACATAGAGCAAAGAAATCGGCGAGGCTGCGTACAGTTCGCCCTGGTATCAATCCAAGTTTCACGGTAGCGCCGTTTTATTTTTGATAATGAGATCGCAGAATCAGTTGACGATCACAATGGGAAAGTTCTTGGATCTTTCGCTGGAACGATTCTCAACTGTAAGACGCGCTGCGTAGATCTCATGTTGCATCTTTCGCGATATTCGTGACGTTTCGTGTGAACTGATTTAAAAGTGCACAACATTGTTGCAGATTGTAAAAGCTTCAGCATCCTATTTGTCGGTCTTGCTGGCGTTGTATTGAAGAGAATACATTTTCCACAATTAACATTTTAAGTGAATGTTAAGACATGTTAATTAGGAATTGGTAGCTTAGGAATTGCTAGTAATTAGGAATAATTAGAATTTAGAAATTAAAGAAATTTAGCACAAATTTTGCTGTTTCTTACCATTGACAAGTGTCCAATATCCAATCGTTCAGTGACAAAAGGTTTACATGTCACTTCTTTCGTGAAACATATTTATCACTTACATTGGCTTTTGTGAAATTAATTAAGACTCACTTTTCACACAAAGAAAAAGATTTGGGTTTGTTTAATATAAATAATAATTCAATTTCAAATAATATTTTGTTTAGATGAGAATGTTGTTGTCTCACTAGAGTAAACCATATTATTTTACAGAAGAAATAGTATTATTTAGAAAGAACATTATCCGGTCTTTAATGAAAGAAAAATTTATTTTATTATATATTAAATACTGTTCCACCAAAACACAATGAAATATTTTATTATTTTTCTAACATAGTGTTACATCTTTCAAATAATTACTTCATTACTTGTGACTATTGTAATGCTTGGATAAAAATATAAAAGGAATATGTTATTCAACGTAAAAAGATATTTATTACTATTATAAGAATTAAATTGTTAAAGAAATTTTTTTCTCTGTACTTAGTTATTCTTTATACATTGACGAGGAATAAGAAGAAGAGAAGCATCTCCGTCCGAATCACAATTGGAAGTGGTGGGACCGTACGTGCCAATATCAATACGACATCGTCGTGATCGGATGCGTTGTACTGAGAAAAAGATATCTAGAAATTCATTTGTAGGATATAAAACTTATTTTCATAAAAATAAGGTTTATTTCACAAATATAATGTTTGTTTTAATATACTTTAAAATGCTTTAATATGCTTCAGAAATATGCTTTAAATCTCACAAATAAATTTTTAAGTGCTTTTCTCCCTCAGTGTGCAAAGCATGCACCGCGGTGACACGTAAATATAACTGCGACGGTTTCAAAGCACGACATCAATGTTTCCCGGCCGCAATTATAATTCGTTGAAAATAGCGATGATCTGCGCATCTCTTTATAAATTCACCTCTGTGAGATTTCCCTTTTTGACGCAAACTGACTTTTGTCCTCGGGCTATCGTCTTCGGCGGGCTATAAGACATTGTTTCTCTTCGCTTCTTTGGGAATCGCTTATTCGGAAAAACTCGAGATATCTCCTTTAGCGATCGCACACTCGATGTGCGTACAAGTATTGTAATTAGGATAAGCAATCGCTTAGAAAAGCGGATAATAAATCCACAGGAAATCAACTGTTGCGAAAATCAGTATATTATACATGATAGATTTGTTTATTTTATTCATTTGTGATTTTTTATATGAATATTGAATAATATTATGTTACCTGAGTAATATGCGTTTTATGGTCCCGTGCAATCGATTATTTAGAGCAATATAGTACCGAAAAGTATAGCCATGAAATCGAGCACTGAGTATCTCAAACACCACATTCGCGCACACACACACACACACACACACACACACACACACACACACACACACACACACACAAGTCGTCGTTTTGTTCTCCAATATTTCGTACGTTACCTCGCGAGTTCTTTAGCACGCATAGCTAATTTTCATACACCTGTCGCTGCATGAATCCCTGTAATATTAAAGCAAATGAGCGGCAAGTGCGCGCAGCAATTGAATTACACGTAAAAAATCCTTCGATCGGCTGTTGCGGGTTCTTTTCTTTTGAAAATAAATGTCTGCGAAAAGTCAAAGGAACACGTGATCGCTAGAAGCAATTCAATATACAGCGGACGTCACATGCCGCGTCCAAGCATACTTGACTCCTTGAATCTTTAATTATCTTAAAGAGAATTCTTCATCGCTCTGCGTCATCTGACAATTCAAGAGAAAATCGCCTTTCCTTAAGACGTTTTCTTCTTTTCTCTTTTTCATCGATATTGAGAAATATAGAAAGAAATAGCGAATGTGCACGCGACCTGTGTGATACCCGACTGAAATATTTAATGAGCGATTCCCACCGGGGTCGAAGAAGGGAATGTTCATTCGCTCATTTTCCGTCGAGACACTTCAGTTCACGGAAGGACATTCAGTCGAGCATATCATCCGGCAATCAACGCATCCGCTTACGATAACGTTCGACACGGAATTGTTACCGAGATCGCCCTTTCGCAAAACAGCAGTGGGAAAAATATGGAAAAATGGAAAAGCGAGCAATCGAGGAGAATAATTAGTCTGCCGCTCGAGATGCTGCTCCGCGTGTTCGGCATCTGGCCAGGCACATTCAACGGTGTGATGTGCAAAATGTTCTGGCTGATCGTAATGACAACCAACACGACTCTTCAATACATGTTTCTCATCCTTCACGCGCACTCCATCAACTTTACCATTTTTATGTACGCGTTCTCGGCGACATTGGCCGTGAGCATGAAGCTCATCAAACTGATCATTTTCTGGTCCCAACAGCGGTGAGACACGCATAACATCATTTGTATTGCGCATATATAAAATTGGTAATGCGATCGAGAGTATTTTCATACGCGTGTAATCTCACTGTGATTATCACTGTGACGCGAATACAAGTGTCTATCGGAAATCCGGGAGCGGGGAAATCGCGGTGGGTTCGATTTTTCGATACCGCGACCGAGTGAGAGGAGATTTCGGGTTAATCGCGACGCTTTTATCTTCGGGATTAAACGTGAGCTTTCGTTCGTACGAGTTTACGGTATTAAAGTCGGAACCCACCGCGATTACATCGCAGCACCGGCTGTTATTATCCGTTATATGTAAAGATCGAAATATTACGACAAGCGTTGGGATCGCCCGTAAGAATAATCGCTTGTAGAAGATTCGACAAGATGTGGGGAGATATGCTGACGAATCGGGAGCGGAGCAGGGTCTATACCAGCACAGTCGGCACAAACGGCAAAGCGCACGTATCGCATTTTTTGCCTAATTTCATTGTGGCATTCAGCTCGGTATCGGTAGTAATGACCTCCCTCAGCACCCTCTCGAGCGGAATTCATTACGACGAGGCTTCCAACGGGACGCGACCGTACATTCTGATGATGCATCTTCCATTCGACAGCAATAGACAATCCGTGTATCTATTCGTGATATTTATACAATTTTTCTACGTGTTGATAATTACCACCGGGGCCGCCTCTCTTAATTCGGTTCTTATTATTTTGGTGAGTATTCGGAGGTGCGTCCGACAGAATAATTAATATTTAATCGTCGAGCTTATTGTGAATTACTTATCGCTCTGTACGGTAATGGACACGGTCGTGTATTCTAGATGCTGTACTTAGGCGATGAGATCGACGTCATTTGTAGTTGGTTGATGAACATGGATGAGAACGAGCACAAAGCGAGCGTGGTGAAGAAAATAATCCGGAAACACCAGAGTGTCATAAGTTTTTCGAAAAACGTTGAGATGCTCTACACGTACATCGCGTTGATGTTAATCGTGCTCAATACTTTAATCACTTGCGGCTTGGGCTTCATACTCGTCACGGTGAGTAGCTACCACGAATTCCATAACAAATAAAATAATGATTACTGCAAGTTAATCCTTCATCAAAAGCTCCGCATGTCAACAATATCCATAATCGCGCTTATGCACTTAATATGTTATTAATAACAACGAGAAATATTAATATTCTGTAATAAGCGCAAAACATGATATCAATAGGAATTAATTATTCCTTGTTCGTTATTATTGTGGTGTCGTTTTCATTATTACAGTCAATCGAATCGCCTAATTTCTCCACAATATTAATGAAGAACCTCTTGTTTTATTGCGCAATTAACATTGAGACCTTCGTATTTTGCTTCGCCGGTGAATACATTAGTGCTAAGGTTAGCTCTTGTATGCGCAATCATCGACGGTAAGCGGTAATGGATGCAACGCAGCATAGGTTTTCGATTATGAGGTGTTTTCTTCTCCGCACGTAGAGCAGAGAAATCGGCGAAGCTGCATACGGTTCGCCTTGGTATCAATCCAAATACCACGGTCGCGCCGTTTTGTTCATGATAATGAGATCGCAGAATCAGTTGGCGATCACAATGGGAAAGTTCATGGATCTCTCGTTGGAACGATTCTCCAGTGTAAGACGCGCCGCGTAAATTTCGCATGGTAACCTTCGCGATATTCCAGTGACGTTCCATGTGAGCTGAATTAAAGCATTCCGCATTGTTGCAGATTATAAAAGCTTCGGCGTCCTACATGTCGGTCCTACTGGCGATGTATTGAAGAGAATGCACATTCCATATTAAATATTAATAAACACTTTAACTAAATATTACGAGTTATTTTGTTAGGAATCAGTAGTTAGTAGAGATTATTTATATTTAGGAATTATTAATTGTTGGAAATTAAAGAGAATTAACAAACAATTCGCAGAAATGCGAGAAATACTTTGCTACCATCCAATTTCCAACTCACAGCCGCTCGTCGAAACATTTATATAAGTCACTTCTTTCGTAAAACAGATTTATCACACATACTAAGAGAAATAATAGATATTTCCAGTCTCAAAAAAAATCCGTTTTATGGATTTAAGCCCAAAAATCGTTATGGCAATATGCATGTAAAGTTATTATCCTTGACATTCTAATAGCGCTTGCTAAAAAAATAATTATCCTGATTATAATTCTTTTACCATATTCTTTTACTACATATTCTTTTACTATGATATATAGTTGTAGTATTATACATAGAAAAACAAAGTGCTAGATTTAAATAAATAGTTACTCCGATATTCCTTAGCAAATTTTTACTTGGATCAAGTAAACATTTTACTTCAATTATTTACTTGAAAAATGTTTTACTTAGATGAAGTAAACATTACTTGATCCAAGTAAAAATTTGCTGAAGAGTATTGGAATAATTGTTTACTTGATGCCAGCACTTCTTTTCTGTGTAGTTGTAAATACGATATGTATTTGCCTCTCAGCGCATGTTGGTTCTCTCTCAAGAGTTTAATTAAGATGTGCTTCTCGAACTTGTCTTTGATGCTTATCTTTGATAAAGAAGAGGAGGAGAAGATACTTCTCTGTTCGGATCGCAATCGGAAGCGAGGAAATCGCGCTTGCCATAGTCAACGCGACACCTGCGCGACGAACAATGTTGTATTGTAAAGCGAACGCCGCGACGGCACGTAAATATGACGTTGGCGACGATTACAGAACGCGACGTAAGCCCGACTGCGTCCTCCGAAGTAGATGTAACTCATTCAAACTAACGATGACCTGAACTGCAGTTTGTAAGAAATTACACAGTATATATCTCGCTCTCTCCGCGAATCCATTCGTGAGTCGACTCCCCCTTTCCGGCGTGACTCTCCGACTCATTTCCTCGGAATATCGTCTTTGGCGGACTATAAGATACTTCTGTTCTTCGTTCTCTCTTGAGGTTCGCTTATTCGGAAAAACTCGAGATATCTTCTTCGGCGGTCGCGTACGATTCGCTAATCGATACGCGTACGCACACACCGAGTATGTTCTTACACGAACTTTGCATTTCAAGCAAATCGTTCTTAACCGTTGTACCGTAATCAACAATTGGAGGACCATGCCTCCTTTAATATACTTTTCCTCTAGGGACCTTGAGAAATATCATAGCAAATATAATTTTAGTCTATTATGCGATGATAATTACGACGGAAAGCGTATCGACACAATGTGTCGACAAAATTTTATGTTAAAAACGGCCCACTGTGTGCCCAATTTTGTGTTATATATGTTGACAAAGTGAATGTGTTAATTTAACATTATACTTTTTAACACATTCCCCATTTTAATGTAATACAAAATTTTTTACTTATAAATTATTAATATTTTAATTCAAAAAATTTCTTCTTACATTTTCAATATTTATAAATATTTGGGAATCCGAGTACTCGAGTATTACCGAGACACACCGAATCTTTTGAGTAGTCTTTCTCCGTTTACTTGGTGAGTCACTCAAATATCCGAATATCCGAATACATGAGTAGGATGGATAATACTTTAAGAAAACAAAGGACAAAATCGGTTGCTATAAAAATCAATAACAAATAACAGCTGAAAATTATTCGAATATTACTTACGTTTTTATATGGCATGTTTTCGGCTGGTACGCACAAATTTGAGTACCGGATGAACATTCGGCTTATGTTGACAACGCTAATGCAAACTGGCAAATTTTTACAAGTTGAGTTTCCTCATCGAAAAGCTTCGTGATACGTTGTGACTTAGATAGTTTCGCCGCTTAACGATATTTCTCGCTTCCTCCGAGCCTTCCTCGAGTCTTTTCGTTCTCTGAATCTGAAAACTTTTCTATGGATCACACTGGGCGCCCCTTGCTATCAAATATACTTGGTCCCGCATACGTCTGCGCCAGTCGTTACATATTTAGAGCGAATTATTCACGAGTGCATCGCGAACACGACTGACAGGGGGCACATTGTCTTTTCGATTTTCTTTCTCGAAGTTACAAGAAGCTATGGTAAAATGTCTTCGTGATCTACGCACGACACGAGGAGAATAATAATTAATGAGTGACTCCCATTGGTTGATCATGCAAAGCTAGACGCTGTACTCACCGTCGCGCGGCAGTTCTCAGTCTTCGTGCTAATTTTGCGTAACACACATCGAGCTTGAGAAAATACAACTCTCACGAAAGCGCATCCCGCGTCTCGGCGTGCGCGTTCGCTCGATCATTCGCGCTAGTTCCGATGCTTTGGCTCGTGCATAGATCGTAGTTATCGGAAAAGTAGTATTAGTAAAAAAGGGAGAAATTATGACTGGCAAAAGTACGATTAATCGCACGGTGGAGCTGATGCTCACCATGTTCGGCGTCTGGCCAGGTATGTCGTATTTTATAATCTGCAGAGTGTTTTGGCTCATTACGCTAGTAATTAGTGAGTTCTTCCACTACCGATACATCGTGACGCATTTGAATCTCGACAATCTCTTCGGCTTGATGGACTGCTTGAGCAGTTTCTTGGCGCACGTGAAATTGACCGCCAAGCTCATCATTTTCTCGTGCAAACAGCGGTAAGTGACGGTACGTGACGATGACGCGAAAATCTGTTACGGTTTTACGAGAAACGTTTCAGTGTAAGATCCATAGACAATATGGGTAAAAAGAAAAGCCGTCGAATTGTTTTGACAATTATACGGAATGATGCCAAAAAATTAATTAAGAAATTTGTATTTTATATATGTTGATAACTTTTGTTTTTATACGTTTGTATATTCATATATGTTTTATATTTTCCCAATATTACACGTGAAAAAAATTCGTTGTCGTCATCGTCGTTAGGATGATTGATAAACGGAATTGTTCGCAGACAATTTATCGAAATCTTGACAACGATGTCGGAAGATTGGAGCGATTACTCGAGCAGTAACGTCGCGTTGCACGAAACTGTGCGCAAAACGAAAACCTCGAGTCGTATTTGTAACGGGCTAATTATCCTTCACACAATTGCCGCATTTACGTACGTCATTGGCATCCTCTTAGCCGACGTTGACATCACTGATCGAACGGCCGAACTGCCCCTCATGATGAAAATGGAATATCCCTTCGTCATAAACACGCGATGCAAATACAGAGTCGTGTTAGTTACGCAGTTCGTGTTCGTGATGGTGTGCAGCTGGGGAGCTGGTTTATTCAACGCTCTGCTTCTAACTCTGGTAACCAGCACCTACATGAGCAAGTATCATAAGCAAAATACTGTGATAAATATTGTAATGGTTATTGAATGTGAATTGAAATTCTTACAAATATTTCACCGCAAAATCAATCGCACGATAAATATATTGAAGAGACCGACATATTTATTTTTCAATCTATCCATAATCTGCTTATCTCCCTTACACAAATATTTCACCATTTTTAGCGTGCGAAAACTGTTAGTTGGAGTAATGAAAGCGTGCATTCGGTTGAGTATGGTCTCGCTTTTAAGTCAGAGAGGGACACTTCCATAATAACGAGTAAATTGCATATGAGTATATCCGAATGGTATTATTAACGTACCATTGAGTATTTTTAAGTAATAAACACGTATACGTGTTGTGTAAATTTGAGATAAACGTACATTTATCTACAAGTACAAAATACTTGTTTAACACTCACAAGCGCTCATGAATATTCACATGTACTTGTCACATTCCTCTGCTTAATAGACTGCAGATACTTGAATGTGCAAGAAACAAGTATAAAAATGATAGAATAATTTTAAAACGGACCATATAAGGAGTAAAAACGGTGAAATATTTTTATAAAGACTATCTACAATTAATTCTATCTCTACTTCGCGAGACTCTTTCGCTTTCTTATTTTTTTTCATTTGCTTAAACATACATTTCTATAATAACTTCTACAGTAACTTCTAATCATTGTTATATATGAAAATATCCTTATTTTTTAGACCCTGCATATGGGTGGTCAAGTAAACATTTTACTTTACTGGTTGACGGACGTTATAAAGCTCGAAAAGATCGAGAAGGACGAATCAATCGTCACGATGAGGAAAATAATTCAGAAGCATCAGAAAATTATCCATTTCTCGCAGAATGTTAACGATCTCTACTCGTACATATCTTTACTACAATTCGCGTCGAACACGGTGATGATTTGTTCATTGGGATTTCTCATTGTGACCGTAAGTAGAATTATTAAAAGTCCGTGAACATAAAAGTACAAACATTTTTTTAACCTTTCCGCCACTAACAATTGATATTGAACACGACTGATATTAACAGTGAATATTCGTAACGTAAGGTCGCGTTTTGGTCAAACTTTGTAGTAACGGAAGGGTTAAAATTGATTATTATTATTATTCTCTTCAAACCAATATGTAATACATGTTGCCATATATTGACACATTAACATTACCGATATATCTTACTTATATCATCACTTTTTATTGTACATATTTCTACATTGTGTATATTATCATATGTCTTTTTATTAAAATGACCAGTCGACACAATAATTACGTTAAATAAAATTTATATATTTTATGTAACGTAAAAGTTAATTTTTAATGTTCTTGTTATACTGATTTTATCCTTTTTCAAAAATACATGTGACTACAACTAGAACTGTAACATAACTGTTACAACATATGCGTTATATTTATAATAATTCAAATACAGCATATAATAACATATGAGGGATAAAATAATATAAATGCAATATATGTTTTTACTTCCTAATTAGCATATTGGATATGTCGACTGGATAATTACTTACGATTTTACATCATTGTTCATATTCGCATCTCGCATTGACATTGTAGGCACTCGGCAATCCCGATGCCACGGAACAAATAATGAGATCTCTTTTATTTTATGCCGTGACGAATCTCGAAGCATTTATATTTTGCTTCGCTGGTGAATACCTGACGAACAAGGTTAGCGATGAAAAGCGATAACAATGAGTAACTGTTAAATAGATAATTTACATATCTGTGAGATTAAAAATAATGATAAGGAGAGAAACGCTGCAAATATTAATAAATATCTTTATTTATCTTTTATTCCTCGTAGAGCAAAGCGGTCGGAAATGCAGCGTATAATTCCGCATGGTACGATATGAAGGCCAAAGACTGTCGTGTTTTATTATTTGTGATTTTAAGATCGCAGAAGCAACTAAAGCTTAGGGCCGGCAATATGATGGATCTATCTTTAGAGTCTTTTACAGGTGTAAGATGTATAAAGTTTATGGAAGATTATTTTTGGATCAAATTACATATATACTGTGTTTTTAAAGCATTTTTGGTTATAAAAATTTATATGTAGTAATATATATATATATAATAACTGAAAAATTATAGTATATATAATATAACTGAAATAAAATTTATATGTAATATAATATATATAACTCAAAATTTTATGTATGTATATATATATATTGTTATGTATATATATATTGTTCCTTAATTAGGAACTTGTATGAAAGAATAAATAAAATTTAAGCTTTTTTAAAATTAAAAATTGAATTTTTTTATTGAGTAAGAAGACTTAAATAAATTTATGGGACAAGAAGACCCTATAGAATTTTATATATATAAAATATAAAAAATTTTTTATACATATTTTATTGGGAGGATAATTAAATTTAAAAAACTTTAATAGAAATATAAACATAAATGAGTGAATATATAAATGAAGAATAATAAATTTTATTAATTTGGAATTAATTACCTTAGGGATAACAGCATAATGTTTTTTTAAAGATCATATAAAAAAAAATGATTANAATGGCCATGTACATAGGCTTCTTTAATTAATGACTCAAAATTTTGCGTGGTTGTTTGCAAAATGATAGAGGTCTTTTCTATTCACATTGACCTAAACTACAAGTATGTGACGGATGTTCCACTTAGCGACAAATACCTTGTATATATGTGAATATAAAAGAATTTAAATTTAACCATATTTCTTTATTTTCACTACAAGGATTCAACAATGTTATAGATTATGAAAGCCTCGGGATCATATTTGTCAGTGCTGTTGGCGATGAGATAAACATCGTTAGTTTCTACTTTGTCAATTCCTAGTCGATAATAAACGCATGAAATGACGAGAACAAAGAATGACATGCAGACATTTCTTCACTAAATTGTTTTCATCAACGAAAACATATTGGAAAAGCAGTATACATCCCATGTATGTATTTTTAGATAATATACATAATATACAAAATTAATATACAAAAATAAAGAATAAAACAGTATCACATTTTAAAGGAACAACCACACGGGGTTGAAGAAGCTAAGTGTTATTTGTAACGCTATTACTGTTATGAATTACAGGTGTTGCTTGTTTTAAATAACCGTAACGCAATAACATGTTTTCGGACATATTTTTTTCTAGTAACTGCAACGTAGCATTTATTGTTACTTTGTGTATATAAAAAATATTTGCTGCCGCTTTATTCTCTTTTCACGCACGTGAAAAGAAAATAGAGTTGGCAATTTTCAGAGATTACAATGAAAATGAGGCAGTGATTCCTAAAAAGAAAAGGAAGAGAGAAAGCATTGTGATATAATAATAGAAATAATGCATATTGTACCGTTGTTATTATTTTCTGAGTAATGATAAAAGTAACAAGTTATATTTTTCAATGGACAACACACACAAGTAACGTTAACGAGTAATTAAAAAAAAAGATGACTTTCCAAACCTTGAGAATAGCACGTAAAAGATAATTAATGCGTACCCATTTCCATAAATTACAGCAAGGCCGTTGCACTCTTCTCATTAATGCAACGAGAACGACGTCTCGACGCGCATCAAACAAGTTAAAGAGTGTCGAAAGACAGTTGTCGTGTTGTGTAACTAAAGTAAATTCGCACATAAATCAAATGAGTAACAATATCTTTAATCTCGTTGATTTCGTCGAAATTTTCATGATGTCATGTGATATACTTGCGCGATTGTATTCCCGATAACGTAACTGAGAAAGTTCTCCACTGCGAGATCGATAAGTTGAGTCGTGTAGCGTTTAAATTCAAATATTTTTATTTATCAAACATCTGACTTACTTTTGCGCACAATAGGGGCACAAATCGATCCGAAAGAATTTTCAAATTCGACAAAATAACATTACTACGCAACTTTCAAGAGTTCAAAAAGAAATCACAACTTGAAGAGTGTTGACATACGCGAAATAAAACTTGTTCTACCCGCCAAAAGTCCAAATAAAAAAGCAAATTTGACATATTATATGTCGTCTGATCTGCTTTTACACATGGAGCAAAACTTATTTTTGCACTCGGTAACAAAGCCATGCACTCCCGCAAGTTTCCCACCAGATATTGATATAGCGATGGATATCTCTTCTCATTTGTTACACACAAAGAAACACGATATGTTACGTTCTTTCGCAATATTCTAGGTCTAACTGCCCGTCTCTTCCCTCGAAAGTTCGTCGCTAAGTAAGCTCGAAAACTGTCGAGTTTCGAGAAAGGAATGATAGAAATATAAAACTGTAATAAAAATGGGGTAACCATATTATAGATCATGAAATTCGCAGCATTGTATATGACGGTGCAGTTGGCGATGTAATGAACCTTGTCTTCGTCTTCGGTTTGAAAGTTACAAAACGATAAATAATCGTGAAATCATGTGCCGAATGTGTAACCACGTTTTCACTAGTGATACGAAAGCGCACGAAAGCGATACACAGCATAATTTTATATATATATACATGAAACCCGAGAAATATCGGTAATACATACATGAAACATGCGTTGCTTATGAAAAAATATGAAACTACATACACATGGTAATTTTAGTAAAAAGTATTTCACATATAAAGTAGAAATTACTTTTTCTATAATAGATTGGTGCAAAAGTTCATCCCGCTTTTTTTATATCAAAATGTGCATACATAATATTTATTTATTTTAAGATGTAATTAAGTGGTTAAATATGCATCGGTTTGTTGGCCGCATGATCCCGCGCTTGTAGAAATTCCTTATACGGACTTCCGAACGAAAAGCTAATTAAAAAACACAACGAAGTTTCGCACCAATCCGATATATGATCCGAATCCTCACACATCGACTGACAATCCACCAGGCACTCCTGAATTGCTCTGAAATTACGACCGCGATAGTGACACCGTTTGGCACTCGACGGCTATCGCATGCGAACCAACACATAGAATACGTGTCTAATTCGCGCCACATTTCGCTGTTTTGCTGGATCTTTATTCTCTTGACTTCGAAACTTTTCTGAAGTCGGGAGCATGACTGGCCATCTATCGTAGTTGTATATCGTGGCACCCATGTCCGCACGAAACATTGCATATTTAAACGGGACGATTCGCCATTGCACGCCAGCCTCTCCCTTCGAAAGTTCGTCGCTAAGTAAGCTCGAAAACTTTTTGAAGTGAAGACAGCTGAACGCGACTGGAGATCGGTAATCTTCGATCTATCTACGTCCGCATACATCGCATTACATATTTATAAGACGACCAATCTTACGAGTATATCTCCAGCGTTCGAGGAAAAGAATAATGACCCCACGATGTATCCTTAGGTGAAAGTTCCGGAAAGTTGCAAAGTGCACTCGAAGGTCGTGAGCGACACGATGAAAATATTTTATGAGAACTTTTCAGTAGTCAGCCGTGCAAGGGTGGCACCGATTCGATGAACTCTTCGGTCCTCTCAGTCTTTACGCAGCTATCCCGCGATACACATCGTGCCGTTGTTGAAAAGTACCAGCACAAAATAGTTTCGTTATCTCCATCTTCCTTGAGAGTGCGTCTTGCGGCGCACACCTGGATGTACGTCGTCTCGTGTGAAGAGAAGGAGAGAGCAAAATAAAGAAACGCGATGCCGCGTAAAAGTACAGTTCATCGCACGACGAAAATTGTACTCACTTTATTCGGCATATGGCCGGGCACGTCATACGCCTTCATCTTCAGGGCATATTGGCTTTTTTCATTAATGATGGACGAGATCTGTCATTACCGGTATTTCCGGTCACACATGAAGCTCGAGAACCTGCCGATCTTGGTGGACTGTCTTAGCAGCTTCATGGCACATTTAAAAGTTCTCACTAAATTGTTCGTCTTCTGGTTCAATCAGCGGTAAGTGATAACGGCTGAGACAACAACGAGGCGCGTGAAACCACCATTCGGACGATTTCGATCGGTCCGCAGGAAATTCGTCCAGATCCTTACGATGATAACGGAGGACTGGAGCGAGTGCGCCGAAAGCGATGACGATATGCGTGAGACCGAGTGCAAGGCGAAATTGTCCGACCGCATCACCATCGCCATATTTGTCCTTCATGTGGTCACTACCATTCTGTTCAGTTTCGGCGTCTTTTTGACGAACGTTGATATCAACAACGATCAGTCTGAGATACCATTCCTTATGAAAGTGGAGCTTCCTGTGCGTATCAGCAAAATACGCACATACAGGCTGCTGTTGAGCGCGCAATTCGTGCACCTCTTGACTATCGTTATCGGCACTGGTCTGGTGAACTCTCTGCTCTTAACGTTGGTATGCAACCCTGTCAACGCTCATTGCACTTGCTACGCTACCTGCAGCTTCAACGCACGGTATAATTTGATTGCCACTCTTTTATAACCGTACATTTTCATTTCTGGACATTTATGCAAAGCAAAGTGATAGATTGCCCACTGAACATCATCTAAATATCAATGTAACATGCCTAAACACGCAATATAATTATATTGTACGGAATTTCCAATTAAATTTCTAAATTTATTTAGAAAAATGATTCTCAAAGGAGCAAGAACAATGTGCCAAGTGAATACTCAGTGAACACCAACTAACAGTAGCATTACAATCAGTGTTATAATTTTCCATTCAATATAAGTGAAATATAAAATGTGTTGCATTCAAAATAGTTACACTATTAAAGAGAAAATTATAATTATAATATAAATTATAACTATTAAAATTATAATAATTAATTTAATATCATTCTTATAATTGATTATAAGAGTTTACTGGTTACCGATTGGACACGTCGTTCTTACTTTTTTAAATAATCTTTCGAAATAAATAATAAATCAATAATACATACAGGGTTAAAAATTATAGATAACTTAATTACATTGCGTTTAAGACTAAACTCATTAAAGCACGAATACATTTTTACAATGCAGCGTTTGTACCTCTGCTCAGTGATGAAAAAGTTCGAATTCTCTAAATGTTTCTCGAGCGATGGAATTTTTCAGATTTTACACGTGGGAGGTCAAATCGACGTCCTGCGCTCTTGGTTGATTCATCTTATACCGAAGGAGAGTGGAGGAACGCGCGAATCAGTCGTCGTCGTAACGAATAAAATTGTTCGAAAACATCAGAGGATCATCCTGTTTTCGACGTACATCGAAAATTTGTACACATTCATCTCGTTTGCGTTGTTTACCTTGAACACAACAATGATCTGTATGCTGGCATTCCTCGTCGTAAGTGTGAGTATTACGCGTGCTAAATATCATAGATAAAAATGATAGGATACATTGTGAAATTAATTGCCATCTCTCGCGTACACAGAAAATCATAATAATAATATCATTCTACTGCTCAGAAAAGTGATTATAAGTTTACATTCCTTCTTTTATAGGTAAAATAATTATCTTCAACAAAGAATATTTTCCTGATAATAGTCCTAAATATATACTCATCACAAGTTTTAGAAAAGTACACTACCACTTTATCGAAAGAAGAATTAATTCTTTTCTTAAGAATATTAGAAACTTTATCGAAGAAAAGTTAAATTCGATGAAAAAGTTGAAGTTTGTTTTAATTAAATGCTTTTAATTAAAGTATCACACCTTATTAGGATTTGATATATTTTTAATATGATGCTTATTGATGCAGAACTTATGGTATATTTGCAAATTTATATAAAGTTATAAAATACTTGAAACAAGAAACATTTACTTGAATGCAGTATATATTTTTTGTGTGTAATAACACATGTTTACGTGATATCTTAACATAACCATTGCACTTTTTTCACACAGTTGCACCACTCCATACGATTGCTTACTTTTACTCGCAATTTTGCAAAGTGTTTTAATAATAATGTTGCAATAATCCTATGCGCGTGCCGCTTCCATATCGCAGTCACTCGGCAGCCCCGACGGGACTGAGCGGATAACAAAATTTATCCTGTTTTATACCATCACGAATCTGGAATCGTTCATATTTTGCTTCGCGGGAGAATATCTGAAAAACAAGGTTGGATATATGAGAGAATAATTACAATGATAATCGATGATAACAATTAAATTCGTATTTAGCGTGTGAATAAAAAGTAAAATTAAAAGAAACTTCTCTTTTAGAGCAAAACAATCGGTACCGCGGCGTACAACTCGGCGTGGTACAACCTGAGGCCACAGGATAGCCGCGTTTTATTATTCGTAATATTAAGGGCACAGAAGCAGTTGACACTGACGGCCGGCAAAATAATGGATCTTTCATTAGAGAGCTTCGCAAACGTAAGACTCATGCACAACGTACTAATTCATTCCGGATAACAATGGTGCAAATCACTTGTAACAGTGGTCGAAATAATTCCCAGTAACACCCATGAGACACGTTTATAATCGGAAACTACAGAACATTTGCTTCGTAGCTTCTCACTTATATAATTTGTTTCGCAGGAAATTTATCATATTGCGGTATATTCATAAAAGTGCATTATTTATGCAATGTTATATGTATATTTACACACAATAAGAAAAGATAGAAACATAAAACTGCATTATAAAACTGTATTAACATGGGGTGACCTTATTATAGATCATGAAAGCCTCAGCATCGTATATGTCAGTGTTGTTGGCGATGCAATGAACTTCGTCGTCATCTTCGGTTCGAAAGTACTCAAACGATATGTAGTCGTGAAGCATGTGTCGAGTGATGTGTTACCATGTTTTCACTAGCGATACGAAAGCGCACGACAGCGATGCATAGCATATTTGAATATGTACGCATGAAGCCTGAGGATTATCGGTAATATATATATGAAATGTACGTTGCTTATGAAACAATATGAAACTACATACACACATCAAATCACTTAGAAAATCTTAGTGAATTTTAGATAATCTTAATAAAAAGTATTTCATATATAAAGTAGAAAATGCTTTTCCAATAATAGGTTGGTGCAACAATTCATAGCGATTTTTATCAAAATATGCATAACATTTATTTATTTTAAGATATAATTAAGTGGTTAAATATGCATCGGTTTGTTAGTCGCATGATCCCGCGCTTGTAGAAATTCCTTATACGGACTTCCGAACGAAAAGCTAATTAAAAAACGCAACGAAGTTTCGCACCAATCCGATATATGATCCGAATCCTCACACATCGACTGACAATCCACCAGGCACTCCTGAATTGCTCTGAAATTACGACCGCGATAGTGACATCGTTTGGCACTCGACGGCTATCGCATGCGAACCAACACATAGAATACGTGTCTAATTCGCGCCACATTTCGCTGTTTTGCTGGATCTTTACTCTCTTGACTTCAAAACTTTTCTGAAGTCGGGAGCATGACTGGTCATCTATCGTAGTTGTATATTGTGGCACCCATGTCCGCACGAAACATTGCATATTTAAACGGGACGATTCGCCATTGCACGCCAGCCTCTCCCTTCGAAAGTTCGTCGCTAAGTAAGCTCGAAAACTTTTTGAAGTGAAGACAGCTGAACGCGACTGGAGATCGGTAATCTTCGATCTATCTACGTCCGCATACATCGCATTACATATTTATAAGACGACCAATCTTACGAGTATATCTCCAGCGTTCGAGGAAAAGAATAATGACCCCACGATGTATCCTTAGGTGAAAGTTCCGGAAAGTTGCAAAGTGCACTCGAAGGTCGTGAGCGACACGATGAAAATATTTTATGAGAACTTTTCAGTAGTCAGCCGTGCAAGGGTGGCACCGATTCGATGAACTCTTCGGTCCTCTCAGTCTTTACGCAGCTATCCCGCGATACACATCGTGCCGTTGTTGAAAAGTACCAGCACAAAATAGTTTCGTTATCTCCATCTTCCTTGAGAGTGCGTCTTGCGGCGCACACCTGGATGTACGTCGTCTCGTGTGAAGAGAAGGAGAGAGCAAAATAAAGAAACGCGATGCCGCGTAAAAGTACAGTTCATCGCACGACGAAAATTGTACTCACTTTATTCGGCATATGGCCGGGCACGTCATACGCCTTCATCTTCAGGGCATATTGGCTTTTTTCATTAATGATGGACGAGATCTGTCATTACCGGTATTTCCGGTCACACATGAAGCTCGAGAACCTGCCGATCTTAATGGATTGTCTTAGCACCTTCATGGCGCATATAAAGGTTTTCACTAAATTGTTCGTCTTCTGGTTCAATCAGCGGTAAGTGACGACGACTGAGACAACAACGAGGCGCGTGAAACCACCATTCGGGCGATTTCGATCGGTCCGCAGGAAATTCGTCCAGATCCTTACGATGATAACGGAGGACTGGAACGAGTGCACCGACAGCGACGACGACATGCGTGAGACCGAGTGCAAGGCAAAATTGTCCGACCGCATCACCATCGCTATGTTCGTCCTTCACGTGTCCAATACTATTCTGTTCAGTTTCGCCGTCTTCTTGGCGGACGTTGATATCAACGACGACCAGTCCGAGATACCCTTCCTTATGAAAGTGGAGCTTCCCGTGCGCATCAGCACAATACGCACATACAGGCTGCTGTTGAGCGCGCAATTCGTGCATCTCTTGACCATCGTCGTCGGCACCGGTCTGGTGAACTCTCTGCTCTTAACTTTGGTATGCGACCCTGTCAATGCTCATTGCACTTGTTACGTTAACTTGCAGCTTCAGCGCACGGTATAATTTGGTTGCCACTCTTTTATAATCGTACCCTTTCGTTTCTGGACATTCACGTAAGATAAAGTGACAGGTTGCCCATTAAACATCAATAAAACGTCAATGCAACATTTCTTAACACGCAATGTAATTATATTGTACGGAATTTCGGACTAAATTTCTAAATTTATTTAGGAAAATTATTCCTAAAGGTAAGAACGATGTGTTAAGGCAATACTCAGCAATAACACCAACTAACAGTTATAATCAGTGTTATGATTTTCCGTTCTATATAAGTGTAATATAAAGTATGTTGCATTCACAATAGTTACATTGTTGAGTAGAAAATTGTGACTATAATAAAAATTATAACTATTAAAATTATAATAATTAATTTAATATCATTCTTATAATTGATTATAAAAGTTTACTGGTTATCGATTGGACACGTCGTTCTTACTTTTTTAAATAATCTTTCGAAATAAATAATAAATCAATAATACATACAGAGTTAAAAATTATAGATAACTCAATTACATTGCATTTAAGGCTAATCTTAATAAATAACATATACAATTTTTACAATGCAGCGTTGAACCTCTGTTCAGTGATGAAAAAGTTCGAATTCTCTAAGTGTCTCTCGAGCGATGGAATTTTTCAGATTTTACACGTGGGAGGTCAAATCGACGTCCTGCGCTCTTGGTTGATTCATCTTATACCGAAGGAGAGTGGAGGAACGCGCGAATCAGTCGTCGTCGTAACGAATAAAATTGTTCGAAAACATCAGAGGATCATCCTGTTTTCGACGTACATCGAAAATTTGTACACATACATCTCGTTCGCGTTGTTTACCTTGAATACAACAATGATCTGTATGTTGGCATTTCTCGTCGTAAGTGTGAGTATCACGCGGTCCAAATATTATAGATAAAAACAATAAGCTTCATTGTGAAATTGATCGCCGTCTTTCACGCATTCGTGCGCGTACAAAAAGAATAAGAAAAAAAGGAATAATAATAATAACATCATTCTATTGTTCAGAAAAGTGATTACTTAGTTTATATTCCTTCTTTTATAAGTGAAATATTTATCTTCAATAAAAAATATTTTCCTGATAATAGTCTTAAAATATACTCATCACAAGTTTTAAGCTTATTACCACTTAATAAAAAGAAAAATTTCTTCTCTTCTTATGAATACTAGAAACTTTATCGAAGAAAAGTTAAATTCGACTCATTTAAATGAAAAAATTGAAGTTTGTTTTAATTAAATGCTTTTAATTAAAGTATCACACCTTATTAGGATTTGATATATTTTTAATATGATGCTTATTGATGCAGTACTTAAGGTATATTTGCAAATTTATGTAAAGTTATAAAATACTTGAAACAAGAAACATTTACTTGAATGCGGAATGTATTTTTTTGTGTGTAATTGTACACGTGATACCTTAACATTACTATTACACTTTTTTCATGCGGTTACATCATTCGTGTCGACTGCTTACCTTAACACGCAATTTTGCAAAGTATTTTAATAATAATGTTGCAATAATTCTATGCGCGTGCCACTTCCATATCGCAGTCGCTCGACAGCCCTGACGCGACTGAGCGGATAATGAGATCTATCCTGTTTTATACCATCACGAATCTGGAATCGTTCATATTTTGCTTCGCGGGAGAATATCTGAAAAACAAGGTTGGATATATGAGAGAACAATTACGGCGATAATCGATGATAACGATTGAATTCGAATTTACCATATGAATAAAAACTCGTTGAATTAAAAGAAACTACTTTTTCGTAGAGCAAAACGATCGGTACTGCGGCGTACAACTCGGCGTGGTACAACCTGAGGCCCCAGGATAGCCGCGTTTTATTATTCGTAATATTAAGGGCACAAAAGCAGTTGACACTGACAGCCGGCAAAATGATGGATCTTTCTTTAGAGAGCTTTGCAAACGTAAGACTCATGCACAACGTACGAAATCATTCCGGATAACAATGGTGCAAATCACTTGCAACAGTGATCGAAATAATTCCCAGTTACATCTGTGAGACAAGTTTGTAATCGGATAGTACAGAACATTTTCCCCTTAGCTTCTCATTTACATAATTTGTTTCGCAGGCAATTTATCATATTGCCGTATATGCATAAAAATGCATTATTTATGCAATGTTATACGCACATTTACACACAATAAGAAATGATAGAAACATAAAATTGTAATAAAAATAGGATGACCTTATTATAGATCATGAAAGCCTCAGCGTCGTATATGTCAGTGTTATTGGCGATGCAATGAACTTCGTCGTCATCTTCAGTTCGAAAGTTCTCAAGCGATGTATAGTCGTGAAGCATGTGCCAAGTGGTGTGTGACCATGTTTTCACTAGCGATAAGAAAGCGCACGACAGCGATACACAGCATATTTTTATATGTACGCATGAAGCCTGAGGATTATCGGTAATACATATATGAAACGTACGTTGCTCATGAAATAATATGAATCTACACATACACATGGTAATCTTAGTAAAAAGTATTTCATATATAAAGAAGAAAATGCTTTTTCTATAATAGCTTGGTGCAAAATTTCATCCCGTTTTTTCTTATCACAATGTACATACATAACACTTATTTATTTTAAGATATAATCAAGCGGTTGAATACGTGTCATTTCATTGACTGTGCGATTCCGCGCTTGTAGAAATTCGGTGATTTCTGAGAGAAAAGCTGGTTAGAAAACGCGACGAAGTTTCGCACCAATCCGATATACGAGCCGAATCCTCACACATCGACTGACAATCCACCGGGCTCTCCTGAATTCCTCCAAAATTATGACCGCGATTGGCACTTGACGGCTGTCGCATGCGAACCAACACGTAGAGTGCACGTCTACTTCTGTCGTGCCACATTTCGCGGTTTTGCCGGCTCTTTACCCTCTTGACTTCGAAACTTTTCTGAAGTCGAGAGCATGACTGGCCATCTATCGCAGTTGTATATCATCGTGCCCACGTCCGCACGAAGCGTTGCATATTTAAACGGGACGATTTGCATCGCCAGTAGCCGAGAGAGGGAGAGATCGCCCAGCCTGTTCCACAGCGAGGACTACACGCAGTAAAGAATATTTAATGAGCGGTTGCCATTGGTCGATCAGTGTAAGAATACGATTTGATAACTTCTTAGGTGCTTCCAGTCTTTACGCTGGTATTCTGTAATATACATATCGTGTTGTCTTCGAAACATGCGTTGGGATTGATAGACTTTTCTTCCTTCTCTGATAATCGCTCAGACTGTTGGTTCTACTCTGGCGTACAGACGGGAAGAGAGGGAGAGAGAAGAGAATAGGGAACAATGACCCATAAAAGTACTATCAATCGCACAACAAAAGTTTTACTCATTTTATGTGGTATATGGCCAGGCACTTGGTGCATGATAATCTGCAGGGCTTATTGGATCATTGCATTAGCGACGGACGAGTTTTGTCATTATCGTTATTTATTAATCCACTGGCGTACCGATGACCTCTTCGATTTGGCGGACTGCTTTAGCAGTTTCATTGCGCAAATCAAATTGATCACTAAGTTCTCGGTCTTTTGGTTGAATCAGCGGTAAGTAAGGGGAGATACGATTTGACAAAGCGATGTTGCGAATAACTTGCGAAATACGTTAAGCGAAACGTAACGAATTTTTTTTTTTTTTCAATAAATACATAAGTTGGCCGTTTAGACGGAGAGTATTCGTGATATTGACCGTGTATAAAAATTGCGTTACCAGTCGTCGTTATAACTGCAAACGTGATTGCGTACTCCGAAAAATATGAAAATATAAAATATATATGAAATACAGGAAATACATGGAAATATATGAAAATGTTGAATTTCATAAAAAAATAAATGTTAAAATGAGTCACTGTGATAATTGCCTGACATCCGGCGACAACAAGAGACATAAATCTTCATAAAGCGAACGTTCCGATGTCTATTGTAATATCAGCGACATAATCGACGTTACCGATTCATTCACAGAAAGTTCGTCAAAATGTTGACAATGATGGCGGAAGACTGGCACGACAGCGCCAACAGTGACATCGGCACGCATGAGACAACGTGCAAAGCGAAATTATCAGGTCGTATCACTAACGCGATGGTTACCCTTCACGGGTTAACGATTGTTGCATATAGCAGCGGAATTATTCTCGCCGACGTCGATGTCAACGATCGCGAGAACTGGCTGCCCCTTCTCTTAAGGGTGGAAGTACCTATCGATATACACTCGCAACTGAGATATAAGGCACTATTAGCCATGCAATTTGTGTACCTCTTCATAGCCGGCTGTGCGGTCGGCTTGGTGAACGCTCTACTTTTAACTTTGGTAAATTACAATTACGCAAGTACTCGTTACGAACAATTCGCAACTGGTAGTGATATAACGATCTAATAATAGCATCTAAAAAATTGTCTCATTTCACCACTCAAAGAAATCTTCTTTGAAAAATTCCCCGAACCATTTTCCTCTCTATTTCGGATTATTTTAATATGCGGTGATATTGTTATTTTCACAGATTCTACACGTGGGCGGTCAGATGGACATTTTGCGTTGGTGGTTGACCGAGCTTGTGCCCAAAGAGAACGAACGGAAACGCGAATCCGTCGTCATTATGACCAACAAAATTATTCAAAAACATCAGAAAATTATCGTCTTTTCCCAGCACATTGAGGATTTGTATACGTACATCACGTTGGTACATTTCGCATCGAACACGTTGCTAATTTGCACTCTGGGGTTTCTTATCGTAACTGTGAGTAAAGTGTTAAATATTACATATAAAAAAATACATATATATTTATTTATTTATATGAAAAGATATATACATATAGTGAAATAAATAAGTTTAAATAAATAAATTATGAATTTATATTTATAAATTTATAAATTTATGTTAGGATATTTATATTTATAAATTTATTTTAATTTTTTACAAACATATGAATAAATAATTATATATGAATAATACATAATAATTACATATGAATAATTAATATATACATTTATAAATTTATCCATTTATTTATATGTTTAAGAAAAATTAAATTTATATGTTATAAATCTCATTTCTTTTCTACGTTCTTTTACTACATTAAGTAGAAAAGTATAAACCACTTACGGCTTTGCAAGCACATTTTAATAATTCCCTGTACGCCACTCTCCGATATTACAGTCGATTGGCAGTCCCGACGCTACGGAGCAGATAAAAAGGTCCCTTTTATTCTATACCGTCACGACCCTCGAAGCGTTTATATTTTGCTTCGCCGGAGAATATTTGAAAAACAAGGTCAGGGACGATAATTGCGCGACTAGTAAAAAGAATACAAATTACTTCATTCCTGTTAAATCGCAAGAGATTCTGGGCAACCTGCTAATTACTATTTGTACACACAGAGCAAGGAGGTGGGAACTGCGGCGTACAATTCCGCATGGTACGAACTGAAACCCGAGAACAGTCGGATCTTGATACTCGTGATATTAAGAGCGCAGAAACAACTGACGCTCACAGTGGGGAAAATGATGGATCTCTCGTTAGAATCGTTCACGAGTGTAAGATTTAGTACGCAAAATCATTCCGAGTAACAGTCTGTCTCCTCACATGATTTCTTTCCGAAGAAATCACGTGCAATCTATCGCGTGTAACAATATTTAAAGAGCACCTTTTTTTTACCACAATACTAGTAAAAATTACAAGAGAATAGAGAAACACATTAATCTTTAATTAAAGGAAACTACCTTATTGTATATAGATCATGAAAGCTTCGGGATCGTACATGTCGGTGCTACTGGCGATGCAATGAGCATCGCGTTCGGTTTGAGAAATTCTGAGCAATATAGTCATGAAGCATGTATCTCGAGGGACGTGCGAACATGTCTTCACTAGTGTGATGCAAGTGCACAGTGACATAATCCTGTGTTATCCTGTCGCTAGTTAGTACGAAAGTCGCAGTTACGCGAAACGCGCGATTGTGAAATAATACAAAGCTATAGTCTTCTCCGATTCGTCGTTGTTCATATAGAAATTCCTTCATAGAACCTGATATACCGGAACTCACGAAGTAACATTATCCGTTGCACAATGAATAAAGGATTCAATCCGGTGGCTCGGGCAGTTTCGTCCATTTGTAAAGCAGGGATAAAATCACTAGCCTTAAGATACATTTGTTTCCGCATACTTAATATCAAATATCGAAGCTGCGTCGAATCGTTTCACGTGCAGTAGTCTTTCATTCACGTTAACCAGCTCACGGACACTTGTTGATTTCTTATAAACGCGAGAGCTTTCTCTCTCTCTCTCTCTCCATCAACTGTAGCACGCAGGAACAAGCGTGCACTTCCGGCGGCATCCGGGACGCCTCATCCGCATCCTCTTGACTTGGAAACTTCTCTCAAGTGCAACGAACGCGACTAACCGCGCAAAGTACCGCGTTCGCCGACGCACGGATCTACGGCCGCACACATTGTTGTATATTTAAACAAGAGAATAGTGCGCATCATCGGTGTTCAAAAGAGAGAAAGAGAAAGAGCGAGAGGGGAGGGGAGAGAGAAGGAGAGAGTAATCGCTGCCTTCCCTTTTCGAATATCAGTGTCGCGAAAATCTACATCGAGCTTGTATCCAGTGGAGAGGAGGGGGACTGTGTGCATGGCAAGGCATAAAAATATTTAATGAGGAGCTCCGATTGGTCGAGCAGCCGAGGGTGCGCTCATTTCATGACCTTTCGGGACCTCCCAGTCTTTATTCTGGTATCCTATGATATACGTCGAGCCGTTATTAGGAGATCCATCCGCAAATCCATTGGGATCACACAGTTCTCTCCCTCCACTTGTCTATCTCTTCCTCTCTCCCTTTTATCCCTCCTTGTAAAGGTGGCCGTTCACATGCGCCTCGATGTTCTTCCCCGTTCACGAGAGCGAACTAAGGCATAATGACTCGCAGAAGTACAATTAATCGCACATTGCAATTAATGCTCACCGTGTGCGGCGTATGGCCGACCACGCCGGGCATTGCGATCTGCAGGGCGTATTGGGTCATCGCGTTAGGCATAGACGATGTCTGCCATTACCGATACTTACTGCTGCACCTGCACTCTAACGATCTGTTCGACCTGATAGACTGTTTCAGTAGCTTCCTCACGCAGGTGAAGTTCAGCACGAAATTGGTTATATTTTGGTGGAACCAACGGTGAGTAAGGCGAGCCGACCACGTGCTCTCGTACGACCGCGAGAAAAATGATCGGCTGCCGCGCGACGTTCATTTCCGCAGCGGAAACTCGCGGAATAACACGCAGATTGCCTGACGATTGTGTCGTTGCGCAGAAAATTCATGCGAATGTTGACGATAATGGCGGAGGACTGGGACGATTGCGCTAACAGCGCGATCGACATGCGTGAGACGACGAGTAAGGCGAAATTGTCGTCCCGCATCACCAACGCGATGTTCACTCTTCACGTGCTGACCATCGTGGCGTACAGCGCTGGCATACTGCTGGCCGATGTCGATTTTACCGATGAGCAGGCGGAATTGCCGCTTCTCCTGAAAGTGAGCATTCCTGTCGACATAAGCACGAAGCGCACGTACAGACTGCTGTTGAGCGCGCAGTTCGTACACCTCATCATGTCCGGCTGCGGCACCGGATTACTGAACTCGCTGCTTTTAGCCTTGGTAAGTCGCTGCGACGAACAGTCGCCCGGTTTGCCCGTGAGTAGCGCGCACTTCTCCAAATTATAACATGAGGTGAGTAACGTCGCGTGTAATTGCTCTTTTTTTGTCTCTTTCGCTGTTCCTCTCGCTGCTCATCGTCCGTGCGCGCGAATCCTTTCCGAGCTCTAATCATGTTTAATGGAGACCGACGGAGTTATTATTTCAGACTCTGCACGTGGGCGGCCAAATGGATGTCCTACGCAGTTGGTTGGCCGAGCTCGTGCCCGAGCGGGAGAGACGCGAACCGATCGTTAATACGACGAACAAAATCATACGGAAACATCAGAGAATAATCAACTTTTCGGGGTACATCGATGATCTGTACACGTATATCGCGCTGGTGCAATTCATGTCCAACACCGTGCTGATATGCTCGTTGGCGTTCCTCATCGTGACCGTGAGTCTCGAGTCGCTGTATATATCCGCGAATGAAAATATATAAATATATAAATGTTTAATTCGGTGGAAACCGATCGATCGCATTCCCGATTTCCGGCGCGTCCGTTCCCGTTATTGCGTCTCGATAATTCCTCCCTCCTTCTCTCGCGCTTTCTTACATACATTACAGGCGGGATATCGATTTATTGTAACTCCGGCCGGCGGTTTCAGTAATTCTTTCGCCCCGATGCTTCGATATTACAGGCGATCGGCAGCCCCGATGCGACGGAGCAAATAGTGAGGTCTCTTTTATTTTACACTGTGACGAATCTGGAAGCGTTCATATTTTGCTTCGCCGGTGAATATCTGAAAAACAAGGTTAGAGGCGAGACGCGCAATATGTCTGTGACATAAATAAACCCGGCAACGGATTGCTTCGAGTCTGTTTGCGTATTAAAGCAACGATTACAAATGCCGTAGATATTTATAAGGCAGCGTCCCGATTATCTCTAATTGATTAATTATTTTTGCAGAGCAAAGCGATCGGAACCGCGGCGTACAATTGCGCATGGTACGAATTAAAACCTGAAAACAGCCGTCCTTTAATATTCGTAATATTAAGAGCACAGAAGCAATTAACGCTCACAGTTGGGAAAATAATGGACCTCTCTTTAGAATCTTTTACAAACGTAAGACTCGCGCGTAATACGCAACATCATTTCGAACAGTGATTGCAAACACGCTGTTTGTGCTCGTTTCTTTTTCTACATAAAAAATTCGCTTCTCGTTTGCGCGTATAAATCTTTTCCGAATATTACGCTCGTAAAATCTCTCCACGGCGATCTCTCTTCTTGGTAAAATTGTTTGTCGACATTTTAAAGCATATTTTTTTAATAGTGCTTTTTCATAATATAGAGTGTAACAAAAGATTTAAAAGATCATATTAATATGTAATATAAAGAGCATAACTCATTATAGATCATGAAAGCCTCGGGATCGTATTTGTCGGTCTTATTGGCGATGCAATGAACACACACATACCGTTCGGTCGGAAGATTATTAAGCAGTAGTCGTGAAACGCATATATCGCATGCTGTTTAAATAAGTCCTCACTAGTGATAGACAATAATAGCGCAACATATTTTTCCATACGCTGATACGCTCCGCGACTATGGTGATTTTTTAAAAAAGCGATATGAAAAAATAAACCAACCTCAACGCGTCTTTGTTTACTGTGAGACATAAAATAAATCATACAAGATTGTGATACACCGACTTTTTCGCAATTAATAAGAGTAAAAATCATGTAATGAAGATGATGAAAACGTTGATAAAGAAAGACTGCAGCGATTCAATGCAATTCTACGTTTTTCTCGATTTGCACCAGTTTACGCACGCTTCTACGCTTTCTGTGTAATGAGAAAGTTGTTGGGCGCTAGTGACCGGATAATTCGAGATCAATAACGCTTGTTACTCGCCAGAGAATTCAATATGAGAAATTCTTCGCGTACGTCCGTACCCTTATTATTACAATGCGATCGATCCATCTATACTTCCACTTGCAATTTCATCTCCCCATTTCAAACAATGCATTCCTCATCTGTGTTCACCAGAAAGACGCTGTAAAAAAAAGATGTTACGGCATATCAATTGTCACGGGTAAAACAAAATTTACTTTTTTACGCTGAGAGAAAAAATATCTAAAAAATATTTGTATATTTTATTATATTTGCACCGTTATATCTACGTCCGTACGAATCATTACATATTTAAACGGAATAATTGGCAGTTTGACAACAAGCAAAAATAAAGAAAGGATGACCCTTATATGTTCCCTTTTCACATCCCCTTTTCACGTTCCCCTTTCCCAAATTTACAAAAAGGTTCGACGCATATTCGAGGAGCAAAAGAGGATTTTAATTATTCACAAAAATTATCCAAGGGAAAACCTTATCGATGATAACGAAGAACTGGGATGATAGTACTGATAATGATGCCAATACGCACGAAGCAAAATGCAAAATAAAAATATCGAGTTGCATTATGAATGCATGATAGTCAATTTTTGCGCGATAATAATCGTTATACGTTACACCGAAAAAATACTGTTGCATCGATAGAATTGGTCAACAATGCCGTAATTGGAGTGAATTTTCTTGATTTGATATTATTGTAACTAACACTCGAGTTATCAAAACAATGTATGATATATTAGTTTCAATAATATTGCTATTGGATTAAAAAGATTCATTTCAATTAGGGCTCTGTTGACTGATTCTATTGATACGACAGCACATCCTTCCGCGTACAGCATCGGGATCATTTTCGAGGACGTGGACGTGAACGATCATGAGATTATGTTACCTTTGCTCTTAAAGGTGAAGCTTTCTGTCAACATACATTCGGAATTCAGGTACAAAGCACTGGTGCACACTCAATTCACGTATCTCTCTTGATGACCGAATACGAAGCCGGCTTAGTGAACATCATACTCTTGATTTTGGTAAGTTGCGACGAGGCAGGCTCTTGTTACGAACAATACGCAACTATCGTGGAATGATAGTAACTGAGCGACACCTTCTCGTAACGTTGTTTAACACGTTGCGTATCGTTTCATCTTTCAAAGGTCGGCTAATGATATTTCCTTCTCTTCCTCTCTTTCCCTCTTTGTCTCTTCTCCTATATTTCTTCTGGCTCTAATTATTTTCTAATAGGCGGTAGAATAATTATTTTCAGGTTCCGTATGTAAGCGATCAAATGAACATCCTGCTTTGTTGGCTGAGCGAACTGGTGCTGAAGGAAGGTCAGAGGAGAAGAAAACGCGAATTCGTTCTTATCACGATGAGTAAAATTCTTCGAAAATATCAGAAAACGATCATGTTCTCGGAGTAACTTGAGAATTTGTACACGTACATCATGTCACTGCTATTCGCCGCGAACGTTTGCGGACTTGCACCTTGATATTTTTTGTCGTAACTATAAGTAAAAGATCGATTATAGATAAAAATAATTCGATTCTATACACACACACACACACACATATACATATAATTATTTCTATAATTACTTCTTACAATTATTTCTATAATTAGCCACCTGGATATTAACACATGTAACGTATATACTAAATTTTACTTGTCCTCCATTGAACTTTCTTACATATAATCATTTTTACTTATAACCCCCGAGCTGTTTCAATAATCTTCTACGTATCGTTTCTCTATTACAGCCAATCGGTAACTCCGTTGTAACGAAGCAAATAATGAAATCTCTTTTACTTTAAATTGCAACGAATTTGGAAACTTTTATATAATGCTTCACAGGAGGATATAAGAAAAGAGAAATAAGGCCTGAAGGCCTGAAAGGTCAGAGACAAAAATCTGCAACAATAAAAACAATATCTGCAACAATAATCAATAATGTGTTACTTTGGAAGTTCGCATTGAAGAAATATTCGCAAATACCATAAGAGTATTAACAGTCTCAGCTGTTCCTACTTTCGCAGAATAAAATGATCGAAGTTAAAGCGCACAGAATGGTATAATTTAAGTCCCCAAAGCGGCTGTACTTTAATACTCATGATGTTAAGAGCACAGAGGCAACTCGCTCTTTAATGCTGGAAAGATAGTTAATATCTCCTTGAAGTTTACTAATGTAAAATTCATACGAAATATACAAGATAATTTGGAGCAACAGTTACAAATATAATATTTGCACCTGTTAATTCAATAAATAAGAACATCTTTATGATGAATATATATATAGGCATTTCAATATAAAACAACTAAGGCCATATTAGAACAAAAATTTTTTTAAAACAACTAGTGCTTAGAAAAATATAAAACGATTGAGACAAGGCTGGCTTTAGTTGTTTTATATTGAAACACCTTTATATCTCCGTTGCAATCGCTACGAGATAATAAATAATCACGTAACATGACACTATCGATAGTTGCACAATTAATCATTTAATCAAAGATTAAACTTATGTCGACAAAAATTAGAACGATTCAACATGATTTTCGTGCCTTTCATTTGGACTGATCATACACGTGCGTCACGTGTTTTCGGTGCGTTACAATTTCAATATCCGCGTGCCCGGAAAATCGGATGATTTGAAACAAGGAACTCGTTACACACCTCATTGTGCTCGATATTGAACAAATTTTTGACCTACTCGCGCAACACACGGGATCCACGTCCCACGTGTACTTTTACTTGCAATTGTAGATCCAGTCACTTCGTAATTCTATAAAAAACATCGCCGCTGCACGAACGCGCATCTACACCGAGCATCGGAGGCGATGAATACTCGCGCATAACGTCGCGCTTTTTTTTCGACCCTTCACTAGGCTATTCTTCGGACTGCGAAATTTTCCGGCGGGCGGCGAAGGGTCACCACCGGTGACCTCCGCGCATGCATATGCCACCCTCTACCTATGTCCGCACGAATCATTGCATATTTAAGCCGCGTAGCTCACGGTTGTAGATCAGTTGCAATAACAACAGCACGCGACAAAGCAACGATGACTACCTTATTCGCTTTTCTCGCATCGAGCTTGCGAAAAGTTGCAAAACGAACGTTTCGAGGGTGTCTCGCGTACACATGGCATGATGGAAAATATTTAATGAGAGGCTCCCATGGATCGATCGCCTAAGAATGCACGCATTACATGACCTCTTAAGACCTCCCAGTCTGTACACGTTTATTCCGCAATACAAGTCGGTCCATCATCGGAAAAAAGAAAAAGAAACATTTTGTCAGAGTCTCCCTCGATTTTCTGAGGCTTTTCATTCGGTTTCCCCGTGACGCTTTAACGGACTCGTATCCACACAAGTGACACCAGGGAGAGAAAGAAAAAAATGATGGCCCGTAGGAGTACGCTTAATCGCACGCTGAAATTTATGTTTGTTCTGTTCGGTATTTGGCCGGGCATGTCGTGCGTTGTGGTCTGCAGGATATTTTGGGTCGTCACGTTAGCGTTCGTCGAGTATTGTCATTATCATTATTTTCTGACGCATATATACACCGCCGAGCTTCTCGATTTGATGGACTGCTTGTGCAGTTTCCTGGCACACGCCAAAGTGTTAATTAAGTTTATCCTGTTTTGGCTGAATCAACAGTAAGTGCAGTGTGCACCAGACGTCATATATGCCTTAGCGCTTACATATTGTCGTTATTGTCAGGACATAATTTATATTCGGTGTTCTGAAAAACAAGTCCTCTCGAGGGTGAGAGTCAATGTAAGTATAATACGTTAGGATTTCCCACGATTTTCAATCTTATGTATTGTGCGTAGAGTTGAAAATCGTACAAGTGTAACCCTAGTTATAATATAATCATAATAATCATAATAAACTGTAATAGTGGTTATAATGTTAAGGTATACATGACGCCTGGTTACTCGTATCGCGATATGAGTTTCTACCAACAACAATACTTCGATAGCTTGAGACAGATACAAAAAATCGAGAGCTATTTTCATAGTTGACAATTTTTTGACGCTGTATTTTTTTTCGCGAAAACCGGAGCGTGTAAAATTTGGATTATCCTCACATGTGATCGCATAATCGGCGAACACGATCGTCCACAGAAACTTCGTCGAGATCTTGTCGATGATGTCAGACGACTGGGACGATTGCGCCAAGAACGACATCGAACTTCGCGAGACGGAATGTAAGGCGAAAATATCGGATCGTATCATGAACTCGATAGTCATGCTACACACGATAACGATCATCGCGTATTGCACCGGCGTTGTCATAGATGACGTCGATGTCACCGACCGCACCACGGAGCTGCCCTATGTCAACAAGTTAGATATCCCCTTCAATGTTAACACGCAACTGATGTACAGAACCATATTAATCGTAGAATACTTGTACATGATAATGTGCTGCTGGGCAGCCGGCGTGACGAACGTATTATTGTTGAGTCTGGTGAGTCGAGCGCATATTGGCGAGCTCGGGGGACTAACTATAATTAATGTTTATTGACAATTAGAATTAACACATTGACTGTCCGGCAAGTTTGCTATATGTCTCGCCGCCTGCGCCGCAATAAAATTTTATACTATGCTTACTATAACTAAGCACTCGAAACCAATCCTGTCTTTTTTAAATGAAAACAGGAAATTTTCTTCACATGAATATATTCTTTTCGTCAATCTGCGTATATCTGCGCTAACATCAACGAAAAGTGAAATCTTCGTTGGATGTTTCTTTTTTATTTCGATACATTTTGATATAAAAATATATCGGTTTCAGAAATATCTTGAAAAATATGTACTTTTTTAATAGTTTTACAAAATGGCTTGAAATAAATAAGAAGAATAATAATAAGAATAAATAACTGGATAAAAGGTAACTTTAAAAATGGCCGGATAATATCCGAAGAAACTGGGGAACCAAAATAATTTGGATAATAACAGTGTACACGTAATTGACACTCCACTAATAACAAGCATCTAACACTTACAAGATACTAAGTAATAATAATTTTAAGTAATGAAATATGTTTAATTTATATCTTACATTTACATACACACATACATACGTGCACACGTAGGCACATATACATATATTTTGATTTATCTCATTGTGAGTATCAATGACTTTTATGGGATCACTGAATAATAAGATGCCGGTTACCTCTAATTATTTTGACAGTCAATGTGTTTATCGTGTGTTTAAAGTATATTATAACAATTATTTATATGTTACACACAAAACATTGTTCTGCGTCTCGCAATCGAAAGTGCACATATCCTTTTTATTGTCAAATATGATAGTCAGCCGCGAAGTTTCATCAATTTCATAAACGAAATCTTCAATTTTAGACGTTACACGCCGCCGGTCAGATGGAAATTCTGCGCAACTGGTTCACACAACTTATACCCCTAGCGAATGAGGACAAATATAAATCGATCGATGTTACGCTAAATCAGATTGTACGGAAACATCAGAAAATCATCGACTTTTCAGAAAGCATCGAAAACCTCTACACTCAGATTGCGTTACTGCAATTCGGATCAAACCTGATACTGATTTGTTCATTGGGTTTTCTTGTCGTAACGGTAAGATCTGTATGTAAGATCTACTGCGTATAGTGAATATTATATATAGTGGAATGATATATATACGAATCTAAGTATCAAAATGTTACAATCATCTCGGTACATGTCTCTATATACGGCGTGATTTTATTAAACGTCTGTTCTTGAATACGCAAATTATATATTTTATTCTCTATTAATTCTCTCTCTGTGTTATCTTTTATCACGGCTCCCATATCACATACGTCTGTGACGTAGAAAATTGTGACGTGCCGTTTACAAAAGCATCAAATAACTGTCCACGCGTCGTTTGTACGATATTGCAGGCAATCGGCAGCCCCAACGCGACAGAGCAGATAACGCGGTCCCTCTTGTTCTACGCTATAACGAATATCGAAGCGTTTATATTTTGCTACGCCGGGGAATATCTGAGCAACAAGGTAAGCAACGAAAATTGAATAATCGTGACAATGACAAACAAGTGACGACATCACAATATTCGGTGTTTTAAACAGTGCCCGGAATTACTTGCCCTTTCAAGACGACGTTCAAAGGCTAGTTTACCAACACATTTATGCTGTTATAATTACAACGGCAAACCCTAATTTCGATATGAACTAGAAGGTAAGGGGAAGAAAATAAACGTAACTCTTGGAAATCTCCTGTAAAGTGCAAGTAATTTCGAACGCTGTTTCAAACGTTCGAGAACGATTTCATCGTTTCTATATTCGCAGAGCAAATTAATCGGCGTTGCGGCGTACAACACCGCGTGGTACGATTTGGAGCTCAGAGAGAGCAAAGTTCTGTTGTTTGTTATATTACGATCGCAGAGGCAACTGACGCTCACAGCCGGCAAGATGATGGATCTCTCCTTAGAATCCTTCGCCAGTGTAAGATTTACACGCACAGCTCGTAACGCGTAACTTTGCGCACATATAATGCTCCGAGCCGATTACACATACTTTTTCTGGACGAAACTTAGCGAGAGAACTACTGTTTCCACAGTTATTCTTCATTCGCACCTGATCGCTGCACGTACAATATTTCCCCTGCGAAAAGCTATCCTATGACGATATTGTGAATTACAAGATTTCTTTTACCAGTAATTAAAGAGGCAATATTTTTTTAGATCATGAATGCCTCTGGATCGTACTTGTCGGTGCTGTTGGCGATGCAATGAAAGGTCAAACTCGGCTGGACGATTTATTTTTAATAAACTATAGTCGCGGAACGTCGAGTTACTCGTAAAAATTACTAGTTATAAACATTATACAATAAATGACATATTTTTTCTAAAATACAGACAAAATACGTTATGATCATCCGAGAATACGTTATAATCGTCCTTCCTGGGATACGTCGAAGAAATTTTCCGTCTGCCCGTATAACACACGTAATCGTTCCAGGTGCACTTTCACTTACAATTGCAGATACGGTCACTTCGTACATGGGATACCGCTGCGACACAAACGCACGTATGTCGAGCATCGAAGGCGATGCGTATCCGAACGTAACATCGCGTTCAATTTTCCGATTCTTCATTAGACTGTCCGTTTCCTCCGGGCTGCGAAACTTTCTGGCGAGCAGCGAGGGGTCACCGGCCGGCGATCCCCGCGTGGACATATACCATCCTGTATCTACGTCCGCACGAATCAATGCATATTTAAACCGCGTAGCTCGCGATTGTAGCTCAACAGCGAGAGCAGCACGCGACGAAAAAGAGATGATACCTTGCTCGCTTTTCTCGTATCGAGGTTGCGAAAAGCCGCAAGACAAACGTATTTGAGGGTACACTTCGAGCGTACGGCATGATGAAAAATATTTAATGAGAAGCTCCCATTGGTCGATCATGACCTCTTAAGACCTCCCAGTCTCTACGCGTTTACCCCGCGATACGCGTCGGGCCAACGTCGAAAAAAAAGAGAAAGAAATATATTTTGTCAGAGCGAGTCTCCCCTCGCTTTCCCAAAGCTTTTCGTTCCCCGTGACGCTTTGACGGACTCGCGCTCGTATTTACACAGGCGGCACCAAGGGGAGAATGAAGAAAATAATAGCCCGTAGAAGCACGCTTAATCGCACGCTAAAGTTTATGTTCGTTCTGTTCGGTATTTGGCCGGGCATGTCCTACGTTCTGGCCTGCAGGGTATTTTGGGTCTCCACCTTAGCATTCATCGAGTACTGTCATTACCATTATTTTCTAACGCATATATATACCGCCGAGTTTCTCAATCTGATGGACTGCATGTGCAGCTTCCTGGCGTATGGCAAAGTGTTAATTAAGTTTATCCTGTTTTGGTTTAATCAACAGTAAGTGCAACATGCACCAGACGTCATATATATCCTAGCGTCTACTTATTACCGTTATTATTAAAACAAAATTTACTTAGTATTCCGAAGAACAAATTCCTGTAAAGGTAGGTCAATATAAGTGTAATTCATTGGGGTTTCCAACGATTTTTAACTTTAGATATTGTGTGTAAAGTTGAAAATCGTACGAGTAATCCTAATTATGAAATAATCATAATAAATGGCAAATCCAGTTGTAAGCATGTATGACGTTAAGGTACGTATGACTCCTGATTACTCGTATCGCGTTATGCGTGTTCACTGATGACATAACTTTGATAGCATTGTCAATTTTTGGAGCTACGACTTTTTTCGGAAACCCAAGCGATTCCCAAAGCACGTGAAATTAGAATGATCCCGTTATCACGCATGATCGAAGAACATGATCGTCCACAGAAATTTCATCGAGATATTGTCGATGATGTCGGACGATTGGGATGATTGCGCTAAGAGCGATGTTGAACTTCGCGAGACGGAGTGTAAGGCGAAAATATCGGATCGCATCATGAACTCGATAGTCATTCTCCATACGATGTCGATCGTCGCGTACTGCCTCGGCATTATATTGGACAATATCACTGTCGACGTCACTGACCACACGGCGGAACTGTCCTATGTCAACAAATTAGATTTCCCCTTCGACGTTAACACGCAACTCGTGTACAGAACAATATTAATCGTACAATTCTTATTTTTGATTATGTGCGGTTGGGCAGCAGGCGTGACGAACGTATTATTGTTGAGTTTGGTGAGTTGAGCACACATTGGCGATCTCGTTATTAGGGAGAGGGAGAAGAATATCTATAATTAACATGATAATTAGAATTACTGTCTAGTAAGTTTGATATGTTTTTCTCCGCCTATGCCGCAATGAAATTTTGTATTATATTGATAACCAGGCACTCAACACCAATTCTTATTGGAACATGAAATCATACGTTTTTTCTCTAAATAAATATACTCTTTTCGTCAATCTATGTATAACATTTGTATTAAAGTTAACGAAAAGTGAATTACTTTGTTGTGTGTTGTAAAACCTTATTCTGTGTCCGAAGGAAATCATCCGTGTTATCAGATTTATGATTATTTCTGATAACGCAATTTCCTGTACTGGGCTTATTTTTTCTATCATACAAATGCGATAGTAATTGTTGAATTCATTAATTTCATAATCGAAATCTTCGATTTTAGACGTTACACGCCGCCGGTCAGATGGAGATTCTGTGTAACTGGTTCACGCAACTTATACCCCAACCGAATGAGGACAAACAGGAATCGATCGTCATCACGCTGGGGCAAATTGTACGGAAGCATCAGAAAATCATCCAGTTCTCGAAAAGCATCGAGAATCTCTATACGTTGATCGCGTTCATGCAGTTCGGGTCAAACATGATAATGATTTGTTCATTGGGTTTTCTTATTGTAACGGTAAGATTGTTGAATCCATGTATTGGAAAGATACATAGGCGAATCTAAGTATCAAAATGCTACAATCATCTCCGTACATGTCTCCGTATACGATGTGATTTTACTAAATTTTTATACATTTTTCAATACACAAATTATATATTTTATTCTCTATTAATTCTCTCTCCCTATCGCTTCTTATCACGTATATCTGTTCCGTGTAACATTGTGTGCTATTCGTAAATGTATCAAATGACTTTCCGCACATCGTTTCTGTACGATATTACAGGCGATCGGCAGTCCGAACGCGGAAGAGCAGATAGTGTCGTCCCTTTTTTTCTACACCATAACGAACCTCGAAGCTTTTATATTTTGCTTTGCCGGGGAATATCTGAGTAACAAGGTTAGCGACGAGAGAACAATCGCGACAATGACGAACAAGTGACTACGATATTTAATGTTTCAAAGCAGTACTCGAAACTATTAACATTTTCGGGGCGATTTTCAAAGGCTACACGTACTCTCTTCCCCTTGCTTTCCATTTATTGTCAAAAATGAAACTCTATCATTGTCATTACAACAGTATAAATGTTGGTAGCATGTAAAGAAAGAAACACAAAAGATTAATTACAATAAAAGAACTTATCAGAACTGCAGGCATATGTAAATCTCGAAAATCACCATGAAAATGCAAATTATATCGAATACCGTTTTAAACCTTCGAAAATGATTATATCGTTTCCATTCGTCTTTTTAGAGCAAATTGATCAGCATCGCAGCTTACAACATCGCGTGGTACGATTTGGTGCCCAGTGACGGCCGGATTTTGTTGTTCATTATATTACGATCGCAGAAGCAACTGACGCTCACAGCCGGCAAGATGATGGATCTTTCCTTAGAATCCTTCGCGGATGTAAGATTCACACGCACAGCTCGTAACGATTATCCTTTCCGAACAAAATTTTGCGCGAGAACTACTTGGTTTCACAGTTATTCAGATATTCTTCAGATATTCTTCAATCGCCCATAATTATCGCGCATACAAAATTTTCACCACGAAATCCTGTGATTTATTATTATGAATTATAGGATTTCTTTCACCACTAATTTAAAACACAATATTTTTGTAGATCATGAAAGCCTCTGGATCGTACTTGTCGGTGCTGTTGGCGATGCAATGAAAAGTCAAACCCTGCTGGATGATTTCTTTTTAACGAACCATAGTCGCGGGACATCGGATTACTCGTAAAAATCACTGGTTATAAACTCGCACATAGTACAATAAAGAACATATTTTTTCTAAAATACAGGGAAAAGACGTGACAATCGTTCGAGAATCGTTCTTTCTGAAATACATCGAACATCAGAGCAGAAACACCACTCTCCGCTTCGCTCTCACTCGTTGCGACGCAACCAATGCACCTACTTCTTTACTGGCAGTAGCCACACAAACCTCATTCAGCGCAGTATAATGTCTTGTACAAATTGTGCACGTTTGATTGATTGACATTGATCTAACGCATATTTGTTAAGGCAATTCAGCTAAAGATTACCTTCTCACGATATCCTTCCGCTCCAATAGGATTTTGTGAAGAAAATCGGCGTACATTAGATAACAGTAGTTCTTCAACAAAAAGCACACCGTCCTGTACAACACGCATAATCGTTTCACATGCACCTTCACTAGCAATTGCAAATCCAGTCACTTCGTAACTGTATATATGAAACATTGCCGCTGCACGAACGCATCTACATCGGAGGCGACGCGTACTCGCACATAACGTCGCACATAGTTTTTCGATTTTATTCAATATTTCAATTTCGATTCAATAAGTTGTCCACTTCCTCCGGGCTGTTCTTCCGGCGAACGATGAGGGATTACGACAAGTGACTCTCGCGTGGACATATACCATGCTGTATCTACGTCCGCAAGAATTACTGCATATTTAAAGTGCGTAGCTCGGTTGTAACTCAACAGCGATAACAGCACGCGACAAAGGAGAGATGATATTTTCGCTTTTCTCGCATCGAGGTTGCGAAAAACGGCGAGACGAACGTATTTGAAGATGCATTTCGCGCGCAAAGATAAATATTTAATGAGAAGCTCCCATTGATCGGTCGCACAAGGGTGCATGCATTTCTCTTAAGACCCCGCAGTCTCTGCGCGTTTATTCCGCATTACGTGTCGAACTACTACTGGAGAAAAGAAAGAAAAAGAAACATATTTCGTTAGAGCGAGTCTCCCACGCTTCTCCGAGGCTTTTCCTTCGGTTTCCCCGTGACATTTTCACGGACACGCATCTACACAGACGGCACCGAAGGAAGAATGAAAAAAAAATGATGGCCCGTAGGAGTACGCTTAATCGCACATTGAAATTTATGTTCGTTCTATTCGGTATTTGGCCAGGTATATCCTGCGTTCTGGTCTGCAGGGTATTTTGGGTCGTCACATTAGTATTAGTCGAGTACTGTCACTACCATTACTTCCTGACGCACATATACACCGCCGAGTTCGTCGATCTGGTGGACTGCATGTGCAGCTTTCTGGCGTACGGCAAAGTGTTAATTAAATTTATCCTGTTCTGGTTGAATCAACAGTAAGTGCAACATATATGCAGACGTCATATATCCCTTAATGTTTATTTATTACCGTTATTATCGGAACATAATTTACATTTAGTGTTCTGAAAAAGAAATCCTCTCAAGTGTAGAACAATGTAGACATAATTCGTAAGGGATTCCAACCATGTTCAACCTTACGTATTGAGTGTACATAGAGTTGAATATCGTACAACTATAATTATAATATAATCATGATGAATCCTGGTTATAATGTTAAAGTACATATGATGTCTAATTATTCGTGTCACGATATACGTTTCCGTGAACGATGATACTTCGATAGATTTCGTTTGAGACAGCTACAAGAAATTGAAAGCTACTTTCATAATTGTCAATTTTTTGAAGCAGTGTTTATTTTTCTCACGGAAACCCTGAGATGATTGTGGAAACCCGTAAAATTAAAATTATTCTATGGTTACGTGTAATCGCATGATCGACGAACACGATCGTCCGCAGAAACTTCATCAAGATCATGTCGATGATATCAGACGATTGGGACGATTGCGCCAAAAGCGATATCGGACTTCGAGAGACGGAGAGCAAGGCAAAAATATCGGATCGCATTATGAACTCGATAGTCATGCTTCACACGATGACGATCATCGCGTATTGTGCCGGCACTGTCCTGAAAAACGTTAAAGTAACTGACAGCACGGCGGAGCTGCCCTATGTCGACAAGTTAGATATCCCCTTCAACGTTAACACGCAACTCGTGTATAGAAGCATATTATTCGTAGAATTCTTAGTTGTGATCATGAGCGGTTGGGCAGCTGGTGTGACGAACGCATTATTGTTGAGTCTGGTGAGTCGGACGTACATTGATTTTAAAAAATGTCTCTCACCCGTAATTTTCTTGGCAGTCGACGTATTTATCGCGCGCTTACAGCATATGTATGTTATTAATTATTATCTGTATATATTGTAATACCTCGTTCTGCATCCAACGAAATTTCCCGTTATCAGATGTTATCAGATTCACGATTTCACGAGCGCTTCTGATAACACAACTTCTTTTATTGTGCATTTTTTTTTAACGCACAAGTACAATAGTCAATTAAAGTCTAATCGATTTGATGAGCAAAATCTTCAATTTCAGACGTTACACGCCGCCGGCCAGATGGACATTCTTCGTAACTGGTTGACGCAACTTGTATCCCGTGCGAATGAGAGTAAACACGAATCGACCGTCATCATGCTGAAACAGATCGTAGAAAAACATCAGAAAATCATCAACTTTTCGGAAAGCATCGAGAACCTCTACACGCAAATCGCGTTCCTGCAATTCGCGTCGAACATGATAATGATTTGTTCATTGGGCTTTGTGATCGTAACGGTAAGATCGTTGAATATCGCAAATAGAGGAAAGATGTGCAAGCAAATGTAAGTATACATTGCGGTTTTATCAAATTTTAATCTATTTTTACGTAAGCAAGTTTTATTTTCTGTTAATTCTCTCTTCCTGCCGCCTTTCATCACGCACCCCTTATCACGTACATCTGTGAAGTACAAAATTGCCTGTGGTTTACAAATGTATCAAATGACTTTCCACGCGTCGTTTCTGCGCGTATTGCAGGCGATCGGCAGCCCCGATGCGACAGAGCATATAGTGCGGTCTCTCTTGTTTTACACTATAACGAATCTCGAAGCGTTTATATTTTGCTACGCCGGGGAATATCTGAGCAACAAGGTTAGGGACAAGAGAAAACTTGCAACAATGACGAGCAAGTGACGACACCACGATATTCGATATTTTAAAACAGTGTCCGTAATTAGTTGCACTTTCGAGATGATCTCCGAGAACCACGCATAGCCTTTGAAAATCGCTTCGAAAGTGCAAAAAATGTTAAAACACCGTTTTAATCTTGACGAGAGCGACTACATCGTTTCAATTTTTACAGAGCAAATTGATCGGTATCGCAGCGTACAATACCATGTGGTACGATTTGGCACCCAGAGACGGCCAAGTTCTATTGTTCGTTATATTGCGATCACAGAAGCAACTGACGCTTACAGCCGGCAAGATGGTGGATCTCTCCTTAGAATCCTTCGCGAATGTAAGATTTGTACGTACAGCGCGTAACACGTAACTCTGCGTGCACGTAAAGCTCCGAACCGATCGCACATACTTTTCCTGAACAAACTTCGTGCAAGAACTACTTGTTTTCACAGTTGTTTCTCATTTGCAAATGATTACTGCGCGTACTAGATTTCGCCGCGAGAAGCGCACTAACCCATGACGTTATCGTGAATTATGAGGTTTTTTTTTATACTAATAACTTAAAAGACAATATTTTTTTTAGATCATGAAAGCGTCTGGATCGTACTTGTCGGTGCTGTTGGCGATGAATTGAAACTCGGCAGAATTATTATATTTTAATAAACGATAGTGGCAGGAAACCGAGTAACTCATAAAAACCACTAGTTATAGACTTCCACGTTATACAATAAAAAACATATTCCACTCATAAAAAAGAGCACTCCTAAAAAAGTCCACTTATAGAAAGTCCATTCTTGCGTCTTTTCCGCGAGGCTGTTGCAATTGGCTGTTCCGAATTCTCAATCTCAATGTGGACCATTGTTCACTTCAATTCGCGATGCAATGAACAGTAAACTCGGCTGGTCAATTATTTTTTAATAAACAATAGTCGCAGGGCACCGAGTTACTCGTGAAAATCAGTGGTTAGTTTCCGACATTGTACATAAATAACATATTCCACTTATAACGAGAGGAACGAAACTAGTCATAAAAAATCCTCTCATGAAAAGCCTATTATTGCTTCTTTTCCGCGAAGATGATTGGCTATCCCGAAATCTCGATCTCGATGTTGATAATTTCCAGATGCGTTCACGGACTTTCAAAGTATCTTGTTCGCTACCAATTTATTGAGATTTTCGAATGAGGTTTGTGGATGCGTGTATGATGCGAACCTGAAGCTTACGTTATTCATGCAAAACACTCTCCATTTCTACACAAATTTTTTTTAACGACGCCACGTTTCAGTTCAACGATGATGCACGCCCAAACATTTTATTAATAAAAGTAACTCTAAAAGTGTCTTAAAAACTAGATTGGCTGAGAAACCACATTTAAGGTACTTTAATCGATAAAAACCGGTTGAGGATATGGGACAAGAAACACTCATATTACACACTACAATGTGCTTAATGAAGAAAATTCTCGTCGGTCAGTACAATACACATAAATATTCCACGTGGGCTTTTACTAACAACTGCAAATCCGGCAACTTTATAATTTTATATGAACATCGTCGTTTCATAAACGAATACAAATCGAGCATCGGAGGCCACGCGTAGTCGCGCTTAGTTTTTCGATTCTTCAATAAGTTGCCCACATCCGCTGGGATGCAAAACTTTCCGGCGAGCAATGAGAGGTTACGATCGCTGACCCTCATGCGAGCATATACCATGCTGATCTATGTCCGCACGATTTATTGCATATTTATATTACGTAGCTCACGACTGTCGCTCAGTAACAGCGATAATAGCACATGACAAAGGAAAGATGACTAACTTGTTCGTTTTTCTCGGATCGAGGTAGAAAAAAGCTGCAAGACGAATGTATTCGACAGTGCCACGCGCATGTATGGCATGTTGGATAATATTTAATGGAACGCTCTCATTGGTCGATTGCCCAAGCGTACACGCATTTGGTAATCTTTTAAGTCCTCCCAGTCTGTACACGTTTATTCCGCAATATACGACGGGCCATCATCGAAGAAAAGAAGAAGAAATATATTTTGTCAAAGCGAGTCTCCTCTCGTTTCCCCGAGGCTTTACGCTCGATTTCTCTGCGTCTCTTAGGCGATCTCGCACTTGTACTCACACAGGCAACATCAAGAGGAGAAAAAAAATCATGGCCCGTAGGACTACGCTTAACCGCACGGTGAAATTTATGTTGCTTCTGTTCGGAATTTGGCCGGGCATGTCCTGCGGTCTAAACTGCAGGATATTTTGGATCGTCATGTTAACATTCGTCGAATACTGTCACTGTCTTTACTTTGCGTCGCATATATATACCGCCGAGTTTCTCGATATGGTGGATTGCATATGCAGTTTTATGGCGAACGCCAAAGTGATAATGAAGATTATCCTTTTTTGGTTGAATCAACAGTAAGTGCAGTATGCATCAGACGTCGTATATGCATCAACGCTTATGTATTGTCGTTATTGTCAGAACATAATTTATATTCGGATTTCGGAAAAATCAATTTTCTCGTGTGTAAGACGATGTAAATATAATACATTAGGATTTCTTTAGATTTTCAAACTTATATATCGAGTGTGTATAGAATTGCATATCGTACCTATAATTATTATATAATCTTGATAAATAACAACCTTGATTATAATGTAAAAATATATATGACGCATGGTTATTCATATCGCGATAAGCATTTTCGCGAACGACAATACTTCGGCAGTTTCCGCTTGGCACTACTACAAGAAATCGAAAGCTATTTTCGCGGTTATCAACTTTTTGAAGCAGTATGTATTTTTTCGCGATAACTCGATTTGTCGAAGCGCGTGAAATTAGAACTATCCTGTGATCACATATAATCGCATGGTCGACGAACACGATCGTCTGCAGAAACTTCATCGAGATCATGTCGATGATGTCAAACGATTGGGACGAGTGCACCAAGAGCAATGATGGACTTCGAGAGACAGAGTACAAGGCGAAAATATCGGATCGGCTTATGAACTCGATAATCATACTTCACACGATGGCGATCTCCGCGTATTGTGGCGGTACTGTTCTGAAAAGAGTTGAAATCGCCAATCGAACGGGGGAGCTACCTTATGTCGACAAGTTAAATCTCCCCTTCGACGTTAACACGCAACTCATGTATAGAAGCATATTATTAGCAGAATTCTTCATTGGGATCTCTATGTGCTGGTTAGCTGGTGTGACGAATGTATTACTATTGAGTCTGGTAAGTAAAGCACATATTAACAATCTCGTCGACAGCGGGAGCAGGGTTATCTGCAATTAATATGAAAATTAGATTTAACTTATTGATTGTCCAGTAAGTTTTAGGTATACGTCTCGTCGCCTATGCAGCAATGAAATTTTATAATAACACTGGTAACCATTCACTTTAAACCAATAGCTTGTCATGTTTCATATTTAATTTCGATATGTTCTAATATAAAAATATATCGATTGGTAAAAAATACTTTGTCAAATGTGTAATTTTTTAATACTTTTATGAAATGGCTAGGAATAAATAAGAATAATTGTAATTAGAATAAATAACAGATACAGACGCATCCCATAATTTGAGAAATACCCGTTTAATATCCGAAAGGCTGAGCTACACAAGTAATTTGAAAAATACTCTAAAAACATGAAATAGACACCACAATAATTATAAGCATATAACACGTATAAGACATTGTGCAATATGAGCAAGCAATGTCTCGTACATATACAAACCCACATACGCAGATATCCATATACGTAGTAACTTATCTCACGATGGGTCATAGATAATCATTGAAATTTAAAATGTTACGCGTTATTTTCATGACAGTCAACATGTTCATAGCGCGATTACAATATGTAACGATTATTGATGCATAAAATATTTTTCGAGGTTCATAGGGAACATCCAAGTTATCAGATGCGCAATCGCGCGAGTACTTCTGATTACGCGTGAAGTGTAATCAATTTAATAAGTAAAATTTGCAATTTTAGACATTACATGCCGCCGGCCAAATGGACATTCTTCGTAACTGGTTCACGCAACTTGTACCCCGTGCAAAAGCGATTAAACATGAATCGACAGTCATTATCCTGAAACGGATCGTACAGAAGCATCAGAAAATCATCGATTTTTCAGAATGCATCGAGAGTCTCTACACGCGGATCGCGTTCCTGATATTCGCGTCAAACATGATAATGATTTGTTCATTGGGCTTTGTGATCGTAACGGTAAGATCGTTGTATGTCACAACTACAGGAAAGATATTTAAGCAAATATAAGTATATATTGCGATTTATTAAATTTCATTCTATTTTTAAGTACATTAATTTTAAACTTTATTCATTCCATCTCCCTGTCGTCATGCATCAAGTATCCCTTATCACGTACTTCTGTGAAATAGAAAATTACGTGTGGTTCACTAATACATTAAATGTCTTTCTGCACATCATTTTTATGCGATATTGTAGGCAATCGATAGACCCAACGCGGTAGAACAGATAGTGCGGTCCCTATTATTCTACACAATAACAAACCTAGAAGCGTTTATATTTTGCTTCGCTGGGGAATACCTGAACAACAAGGTTAGCGATAAAATAACAATCGCAACGATGACAAACCAGTAACGGCACGACGATATTCGATGTTTTAAAACACTCTTTAGAATTAGTTGCACTTTCGGGAAAATTTTCGAAGGTTACGTCTACTTTCATACTAATGCCTCTTTCGCTTGCCTATTAGTATGTGCATATATAAATGCAAGTAATTCCAAACACCGTTTTAAATGTTTAAAAACATCGATTGCATCTTTGCAGAGCAAATCGGTTGGCATCGCAGCTTACAACACATGGTATGATTTGGAGCCCAGTGACGGCCGAGTTTTATTGATTATTATATTAAGATCGCAGAAGCAACTGACGCTCACAGCAGGCAAGATGGTGGATCTCTCCCTAGAATCCTTCACAAATGTAAGATATATATATGCCAATAATATGAAACTCTTTATGCGCTTAACACTCCCATCCGATTACACAGAATTTCTTATATACAACTTCGTGTAAAAACTATTTGTTATCTCAGTTATCCTTCATTCGCAACTGATTGCTACACGTACTAAATTTCCGACACGAGAAGCGCACTAACCCATGACGTTATTGTGAATGATGAGATATTATTTTACCAATAATGTAAGAGATAATATTTTTTTTAGATCATGAAAGCCTCTGGATCTTACTTGTCGGTGTTGTTGGCGATGCAATGAAAGTTTAAACTCGGGTAGTCAATTATTTTGTAATAAACGATAATCGTAGAACACCTAGTTATTCGTGAAAATCACTGGTTATAGTCTCCGATATTGTACATAAATAACAGATTTCATTCATAAAAAGAAGAATGGATCTTGTCATGAAAAAGTCCAATTGTAGAAAATGTGTTGTTGCTTCTTTTCCGCGAAGACGATAGGCTATCCCGATATCGACCTTGATGCGAGTCGCTGTCCACTTCAGCTCGCAAGCAACAGTCACCGTAGTGGTTATACGTTTTGAAAGTTTGTATGTAGGTGTTAACACACTCGTGTGTGAAACAATGCTGGCCTGTAACTACAAAGAGTCAATTTCTCTATCGAAGTACGTTTATCGGCATGGTGCAGAAAGAGACGCAAAGTCGCTTTATCGGTTACATATCATATTAAGATATTAAGACTTTGCGTTTCTCCGCCTCTCCTTGCCAGAAAATATAAAGAACATAATATAAAGTATAACCGGAAAATATAACATAATATAATATAAAGTGATTACCGACCCAACATTTCAATTCACTGGTAAATGCCCGCCCAAACAATTTATTGATAAAAAGTTCCTCTAAAATTGTGTTAGAAAACAGATTGGCTGAGAAACCACATTTAAGATACTTTAATTGATAAAAACCAGAGAATGTGGTACAAGGAACACACGGGGTACACACCACATTATGCTTAAGGAGAAATTTTCCGTCTGTCCGTATAACACACATAAACATTCCACATGTACTTTCTCTAGTAATTATAAATCAGGTCCCATGGTAATTGCATATAAACATTCCCGCGGCATGAACGCGTCGATATCGAGCATCGGAGGCGACATGTACTCGCGCTTAGTTTTTCGATTCTTTAAGAAGTTCCTCACTTCCTGCGGACTGAAAACTTTCCAGTAAGTGATGAAGGCTTATGACCGGTGCCCCTCGCGGGAGCATATACCATGCGATATCTATGTCCGCACGAATCATTGCATATTTAAATTGCGTAGCTCACGATTGCAGTTCAATAGCAGCGATAATAGCACGCGACAAAGGAGAGATGACTGACTTTTTTACTTTTCTCGTATCGAGGTAGAAGAAACAAACTACAAGACGAATATATTCGACAATGCCCTGCGTGCGTATGGCATACTGGATAATATTTAATGGATGACTCTCATTGGTCGATTGCCCAAGCGTACATGCATTTGGTAATCTTTTAAGCCCTCCCAGTCTGTACACATTTATTCCGCGATATACGACGGGCCATCATCGAAGAAAAGAAGAAGAAATATATTTTGTCAAAACGAGTCTCCTCTCGCTTTCCCGAGGCTTTTCGCTCGATTTCCCTGTGTCTCTTTGGCGATCTTGCACTTAAACTCACACAGGCACCAGGGGGAGAAAAAAAAATCATGTCCCGTAAGACCACGCTTAATCGCACGGTGAAATTTATGTTGGTTCTGTTCGGTATTTGGCCGGGCATGTCCTGCGGTCTTATCTGCAGGCTATTTTGGATCGTTACATTAATATTCGTCGAGTACTGTCATTACCTTTACTTTGTGTCGCATATATATACCGCCGAGTTTCTCGATATGGTGGACTGCATGTGCAGTTTTATGGCATACGCCAAAGTGATAATGAGGATTATCCTGTTTTGGATGAATCAACAGTAAGTGCAGTATACACCAGACATCACATATATCTCAACGCTTATATGTTGCCGTTATTGTCAGAACATAGTTTATATTCGGTGTTTTGAAATATAAATCTCGTGAGTAAGACAATGTAAATATGATACATTAGGATTTCCTTCGATTTTCAACCTTATATATCAAGTATGTATAGAATTGAATATCGTACAAGTAACTATAATTATAATATAATCATGATAAATTATAATCTTGATTATAATGTAAAGGCATATGTGACGCCTGGTTACTCATATTGTGATATGCGTTTTCGCAAACGACAATACTTCGGCAATTTCCGCTTGGTACTACTACAGGAAGTCGAGAGCTACTTTCGTAGTTGTCAACTTTATGGAGCAGTATTTATATTTTTGGCGGGAACTTGAATGATTGTCGAAGCGCGTGAAATTAGAATTATCCTGTGATCACATATAATCGCATAATCAAGGAACACGATCGTCCACAGAAACATCATCGTGTCGATCCTGTCGATGATGTCAAACGATTGGGATGATTGTGCCAAGAGCGACGTCGCGCTTCGAGAGACAAAATACAAGGCGAAAATATCGGATCGTCTTATAAACTCGATATTCATGCTTCATGCGATGGCAGCCTGCGCGTATGGTTCCGGAACTATCCTGAATAACGTTGAAGTCACCAATCGAACGGAGGAACTGCCCTATATCGACAAGTTAGATATCCCCTTCGACGTTAACACGCAACTCATGTACAGAAGCATATTATTCGCAGAATTCTTCGTTATGACCTCTATCTGCTGGTTAGCTGGTGTGACGAACGTATTATTGTTGAGTCTAGTAAGTAGATTGCACATTGACGCGTTCGTCGTCAGGATAGCTGGGACTATTTATAGTTCACGTGACAATTAGATTTAACTGATTGACAATCTAGCAAGTTTTTGGTATGTGTTTCACCGCCTGTGGAACAATGCAACCACACTGTAACGATACACCTGAAAGCAATATTTTGCTAGATGTTTCATATTTAATTTCGATATGTTCTAATATAAAAATATATCGATTGGTAAAAAATACTTTGTCAAATATGTAATTTTTTAATACTTTTATAAAATGGCTAGGAATAAATAAGAATAATTGTAATTAGAATAAATAATTAGATACAGACGCATATCATAATTTGAGAAATACCCGTTTAATATCCGAAAGGCTGAGCTACACGAGTAATTTGAAAAATACTATAAAAATATGGAATAGACACCACAATAATTATAAGCATATAACACGTATAAGACATTGTGCAATATAAGCAAGCTATGTCTCGTACATATATAAACCCACATACGCAGATATCCTATACGTAGTAATTTATCTCACTGTGCGTCATAGATAATCACTGAAATTTAAAAAGCCTATTACGCGTTATTTTTATGACAGTCAACATGTTCATCGCGCGCTTACAATATGTAATGATTATTGATATGTTACAAAATATTTTTCTGGATTCATAGGAAACATCCAAGTTATCAGATGCGCAATCTCGCGAGTACATCTGATAACACAATTTCCTTTACTGTATATCTTCTTCTTATCGTTCAAGTACGATAGTTAATCGTTCAAGTACGATAGTTAATCGTGAAGTGTAATCAATTTAATAAGCAAATTTTCAATTTTAGACATTGCATGCCGCTGGCCAGATGGACATTCTTCGTAACTGGTTCACGCAACTTGTACCCCGTGCAAAACAGATTAAACACGAATCGACAGTCATTATCCTGAAACGGATCGTACAGAAGCATCAGAAAATCATCGATTTTTCAGAATGCATCGAGAGTCTCTACACGCGGATTGCGTTTCTGATATTCACGTCAAACATGACAATGATTTGTTCATTGGGCTTTGTGATCGTAACGGTAAGATCGTTGTATGTCACAACTACAGAAAAGATATTTAAGCAAATATAAGTATATATAGTAATTTATTAAATTTCATTATATTTTTACGTACGTTAATTTTATACTTTATTCATTCTATCTCCCTGTCGCTATACATCACGCACCCCTTGTCACGTACGTCTGTGAAATAGAAAATTACGTGTGGTTCACAAATGCATTAAATATCTTTCTGCGTGTCGTTTCTACACGATATTGCAGGCAATCGGCAGTCCCAACGCAGTTGAACAGATAGTGCGGTCGCTTTTATTCTACACCATAACAAATCTAGAAGCGTTTATATTTTGCTTCGCTGGGGAATATCTGAGCAACAAGGTTAGCGAAAAAAAAACAATCGCAACAGTGACAAATAAGTGACGGCACTATAATATTCGATGTTTTAAAACATTGTTTAGAATTAGTTGCACTTTCGGGAGAATTTTCGAAGGCTACGTTTACTTTCTTACCAATGCCTCTTTCGCTCGCCTATTAGTATGTGCATATATAAGTACAAGTAATTCCAAACACCGTTTTAAATGTTTAAAAACATCGATTGCATCGTTTCTATCTTCGCAGAGCAAATTGGTCGGCATCGCAGCTTACAACACACCTTGGTATGCTTTGGCGCCCAGTGACAGCCGAGTTATGTTGATTATTATATTAAGATCGCAAAAGAAACTGACGCTCACAGCAGGCAAGATGGTGGATCTATCCCTAGAATCCTTCGCGAATGTAAGATTTATATACACAAACAATAACACGTTACTCTGTGTGCACTTAAAACTCCGAGAGGATTACATAGAATTTTCCTAGGCACAACTTCGTGTAAAAACTATTTGTTGTCACAGATATTCTTAATTCGCAACTGATTGCTGCACGTATTTTCAACACGAATTTTCAACACGAAGTGCACACTAACCTATGACGTTATTGTGAATGATGAGATTTTATTTTACCAATAATGTAAGAGGCAATATTTTTTTTTTAGATCATGAAAGCCTCTGGATCTTACTTGTCGGTGTTGTTGGCGATGCAATAAAAGCTTAAACTCGGCTAGTCAATTATTTTGTAATAAACAATAATCGCAGGACACCGAGTTATTCATGAAAATTGAAGGTTATAGTCTCTGATATTGTACATAAATAACATATTCCATTCATAAAGAGAGGAATGGATCTTGTCATAAAAAAGTCCACTCGTGGAAAATGTATTGTTGCTTCTTTTCCGCGAAGACGATAGGCTATCCCGATATCGACCTCGATGCGAGTCGTTGTCCACTTCAGCTCGCAAGCAACAGTCACCGTAGTGGTTATACGTTTTGAAAGTTTGTATGTAGGTGTTAACACACTCGTGTGTGAAACAATGCTGGCCTGTAACTACAAAGAGTCAATTTCTCTATCGAAGTACGTTTATCGGCATGGTGCAGAAAGAGACGCAAAGTCGCTTTATCGGTTACATATCATATTAAGATATTAAGACTTTGCGTTTCTCCGCCTCTCCTTGCCAGAAAATATAAAGAACATAATATAAAGTATAACCGGAAAATATAACATAATATAATATAAAGTGATTACCGACCCAACATTTCAATTCACTGGTAAATGCCCGCCCAAACAATTTATTGATAAAAAGTTCCTCTAAAATTGTGTTAGAAAACAGATTGGCTGAGAAACCACATTTAAGATACTTTAATTGATAAAAACCAGAGAATGTGGTACAAGGAACACACGGGGTACACACCACATTATGCTTAATGGAGAAATTTTCCGTCAGTCCGTATAACACACGTAAACATTCCACATGCACTTTCTCTAATAATTGTAAATCCGGTCCCTTCGAAATTGTATATATATATTCCCGCGGCATGAACGTATCTACGTCGAGCACCGGAGGCGACATGTACTCGCACGTTAGTTTTTCGATTCTTCAATAAGTTGCTCAATTCCTGCGGGCTGCAAAACTTTCCGGTAAGTGATGAGGGCTTATGACCGGTGCCCCTCGCGGGAGCATATACCATGCGATATCTATGTCCGTACGAATCATTGCATATTTAAATCGCGTAGCTCACGATTGCAGTTCAAAGCAGCGATAATAGCACGCGACAAAAGAGAGATGACTGACTTGTTCGCTTTTTTCGCATCGAGGAAGAAAAAACAAACTACAAGACGAATATATTCGACAATGCCCTGCGTGCGTATGGCATGCTGGAAAATATTTAATGAAAGGTTCTCATTGGTCGATTGCACAAGGGTGCACACGTTTGATAACCTCTTAAAACCTCCCAGTCTGTACACGTTTATTCTGCGATATACGTCGGGCCATCATCGAGGAAGAGAAGAAGAAATATATTTTGTCAGAGCGGGTCTCTCCTCAATTTTTCCGAGGTTTTTCACTTGGTTTCCCTGTGACTCTTTCACGGACTTACACTCGTATCCACACACGCAACACCGGAGGGGGGGGGGGGAAAAAATGATAGCCCGTAGAACTACGCTTAATCGCACGCTGAAATTTATGTTCGCTCTATACGGTATTTGGCCGGGCATGTCCTACGTTCTGATCTACAGATTATTTTGGGTCGTCGTGTTAGCGTTCATCGAATACTGTCATTATTACTACTTTCTGGAGAATGTCTACACCGCTGACTTCCTCGATCTTGTGGACTGCGTATGCAGCTTTCTGCTGTACAACAAAATGATTATAAAGTTTATCCTGTTTTGGTTGAATCAGCAGTAAGTGCAGCGTTCTTCAGACTCATATATATCTTAACGATTACATATTGTTGTTTTTGTCAGAATATATCCGAATATATTGCATGAATATATTGTCAGAATATATAATTTATATCCTGTTATCTGAAAAACATCTCCTCGAAATTAGGACATTGTAAATATTCGTTAGGATTTCTTACGATTTTCATCCATACGAGTGTGTGTAAAGTTGTATATCGTACAAGTAACTATAATTATAATACAATCATGATAAATTGCAATCCTGGTTATAATGTTAATGTGTACATGACGTCTGATTACTCGTATCGCAATATGCATTTCTGTAGACGACAATTACAAGATATCGAAAGCTTCATAGTTGTCAACTTTTGAATCAGTGTTTATTTTTCTCAAAAACCCGAGTGATTGTTCAGTCGCGTGAAATTGGAGATTATCCCGTGATCACGTGTAATCGCATAATCGATGAATACGATCGTTTGCAGAAACCTTATCAAGATCATGTCGATAATGACAGACGATTGGAATGATTGTGCCAAGAGCGATATCGGGCTTCGAGAGATGGAATACAAAGCGAAAATCTCAGATTGCCTTATAAATTCGATAGTCATGCTTCACGCGATAGAGACTTGTGCATGTTGTACCGGCACTATGCTCAAAATCATTCAAGTCACCAATCGCACGGAGCAGCTGACTTATATGCACAAGTTCGATATGCCCTTCGACGTTCACACGCAACTTATGTACAGAAGCATATTATTCGCAGAATTCATCGCTGCGTTGACAATCGGCTGTGCAGCTGGTGCGACGAACATATTCGTGTTGTGTCTGGTAAGCAGGGTGAGCTTGTCGACAAGGAGGCGGCGATCCTCTGTTTTAACATGATAAACGTGAATTAACGTAATAATTAAACTTAACTAATTGAATATCTAGCAACTTTCGTATATGTCTCGTCGCCTACGTCGCAAAGAAATTTTATGCCAGACTGGTAGCCGTGCACAACAAACTAATTCCTTTTCTGTAGAAGTCAAGTACGATAGTCGTGAAGTCTGATCAATTTAATAAACATAATCTCTAATTTTAGACGTTACATGTCGCTGGCCAGATGGACGTTCTTCGTAACTGGTTCACGCAACTTGTACCCCGTGCAAATGAGAATAAACACGAATCCACCGTTATTATGCTAAAACGGATCGTACGAAAACATCAGAAAATCATCGATTTTTCGGATAGCATTGAAAGATTTTACAATCTGATCACGTTCATGCAGTTAACGTCGAATATGATAATGATTTGTTCATTGGGCTTTGTAATCTTAAGGGTAAGATCGTTGAATATCACAAACAGAGGAAAGATACGCAGGAAATATAAGTATACATTGCGGCTTTATTAAATTTTAATCTATTTTTATTTACGCAAATTTCATTCTGTATTAATACTTTTTCCCTGTCGCCATTCATCATGCACCTCTCATCACGTACGTCTGTGAAGTAGAAAATTACGTGTGATTTACAAATGCATCAAATGACTTTCTGCCCGATATTGCAGTCGCTCGACAGACCCAACGCGGTAGAATTGATAGTGCGGTCCTTTTTGTTCTACGTCATAACGAATCTCGAAGCGTTTATATTTTGCTTCGCCGGGGAATATCTAAGCAATAAGGTTAGCGATGAAAAAGCAATCGCCACAATGACGAACAAGCGATGACATCACAATATTTGTTTCAAAGCACTGCTCAGAATAAATTGCACTTTCAAAACGATTTTCGAGAGCTACTTTCGTGCATTTCGTGTATTTTCGCGAATTTTTTCTCTCTCGTCTAGTTCTTATCGAAATTAAAGTTCTATCGTTGTAATTATAATTGTATAATAGTCTAATTTGATTGGTATTTAGCGTAGAAGAATATGGAAAATGGAAGATCAGTTTCAAAAAGATAAATTTTCAAAAATTAGTAAATTCTCACTGATCTTATAAAATTTTTTCTGACCTGAGGCCAAGCGCAACGAGGAGCATACGAAGAGTTACAATTTGCTGACACAGCAAATTTTATGCTGTCGCAGATACGTCTATCAGTTATTGTGAACACTCATGTGGGCAGCAAAACAATGTATATTTTAAATGTACTAATTGCCACTCGCTGAATTATTTTTGTTGAAAATACAAATTACTTTGCTGTAAGAACAAATTAGTAACGTAGAAAAATTTTATTTTGTTCCAATAGCGAATTAACATGTCCCAAGATTCAATTCAGCAGAATTTTTCTATCTCAGCTACAAAACTGTTGTTCCTTTAATTACGAATAATTTGCTAATTTAGTTATGCCGGACAAATTTTATCGCTATTCAATATGCAGCAACAAGTATAGTTACGCTACAACAAAATTATTTTTCTCCGCGCATTGTTCACATGCGACACACACATATATGTACATAATGACGAGCGGGAAAAGCAAGAATAAAGAAGTAGACGCACACTTCGAAAATCTCTTCGAAAGTGCAAGTAATTCCGAACACCGTTTTAAACGTTCAAAAGCGACTGCATTGTTTCTATCTCCGCAGAGCAAATCGGTCGGCAGCGCAGCTTATAACACACCTTGGTATAATTTGAAACCCAGTGACGGCCGAGTTTTGTTGATTATTATATTACGATCGCAGAAGCAACTGACGCTCACAGCAGGAAAGATGGTGGACCTCTCCCTAGAATCCTTCGCGAGTGTAAGATTTATATTTACAACTAATAACATGTAATTCTGTGTGCTCATAACACTCCGAATACACATAATTTTCCTCGACAAATCCTCGCGTAAAAACTACTTATTTTCACAGTTATTCCTTATTCGCAACTGATTGCTGCGCGTACTAAATTTTCGATGCGAGAAGTGTACTAAGCTATGACGTTATTGTAAATTATGAAATTTTATTTTACCTATAATTTAAGAGGCACTTTTTTTTTTTAGATCATGAAAGCCTCTGGATCATACTTATCGGTGCTGTTGGCAATGCAATGAAAGGTTAAACTCGGCTGGACAATAATTTTTTAATAAACAATAGACGCAGGATAACAAGTTACTCGTAAAAATCACTAGTTATAGTTTCCGACAATGTAGATAAATAACGTATTTCTTTCACAAAGAAAGGAGTGGATGTAGTCGTAAAAAACTCCACTCGTGGAAAGTCTATTGTTGTTCCTTTTCCGTGAAGATGATTGGCTATCCCAGAATCTCGATTTCAATGCAAGTCGTCGTCGGCTCGCGGTTGTCACGAGCGATTGTCATCGTAGAAATTATACGTTTTACGTGATTGCATGTAAGTGT